AAAAAAAAAAAAGCCTACAAAAAAAGATTAGTTTAAAAAGAACCATCTTACCAAGAAGATGGACAGGCTATTAGCCTTTGGGAAGTTGGACAATGATTGTACACAAAACATGCTGTAGAGAACTGAAAGGAGATGGTAGAGATCTGTAAGGCTTTCTACACTTTTATTCTTCTTCTGGTCCAACACATCTTTTGATCTTATTCAGCTTCAAGGTCATGTCAGAACAGTCATAAATTCATCTCCAATATGTGCAAAATTCAAAAGTATTTACACAGACAGATAAAACTGCAAAAGTAAAACAAAAACTAAGGGCCAGGGTCGTGGGTTAAAATATTTCTTCAGAACCCAAGAGACAACAGTTTGGATGTATCTGGAAACATTTTCCAACCTTTTAAACCAAGGTACAGTTTGTTTCCACTGATAAAAAGGTTTATTTGTTGAGGAAAATTAAAAGACGATCTTTCTTGTGAACATCAACTTTTTCCTTTCCACCACAGTACCATTTGTTGACAGACTTGTTCACACAGTGACGTTCTGTATCTCCTCTCCCTCTCTCCCATGGTCACTCTGTTACAGCAAAAAACCACTTTGACTCTCATCCTGACATGGATGTGAGATACATTAACTCCAGTATCAAAGACAACATCCTGAGTCACTAGGTAACAGCAGTGACAGGCAGATGCCAGTAAAAGGAGACATCTTCTCCATGACTTTGAAAAGCCACTGAATAACCCCTTCCAAGCAACTTTCCCTGCTTAATGAAGATCCAGGATAACTGCTTTGTCTACAACCGAAAATGCACAGGAACTGTATTTACCAAAAGTCCTTTGGATGGAAAAAGAACAAAGAATGGGAAGACATTTCTTAAATCATCAATTCCAAAGAACACGGATTTACACATTTGGACTGAAACATTTTGTTTTGCAGGTACACCATATTTTTTTCTACCCAGACATCGCAGTGCTGACCCTGGAGAAGCAAGGGCAGAACTCAGTCCAATCTCAAGCCATGGCTGGAGTTAGGCAGCCTCAGGTGGTTGGTTGGATGGAGGATGACAACAGGCTCAGGGAAGTTCTTAGAAAGTGATCCGTGTTCAAACCAGCATTCACAGCTGATCCTGTGTCTGCTTTGGAGACGGAGCTGTTGTCACAACCACAGTGGACACAGCTTTAGTGGAGCCAGAGACTGTTCCCTGTTGGAGATGGGAGGCTGGAACTGCTTGAATTCGTACCTGTGTGAAACGAAAATAAAAGAATCTCGTCTCAAGAACGACCTGGTGACACAATGACTGTACCTGCACTGTGCTCTGGTAAAGTACTTGCTTCTGCTGCCAACAAAAACTCAGTTACCGGAACAACACCAAGCACCATAAACACTGCCAGAACAGAACCTGTCATAAGAAGATCATTCCATCCACTGCCCACATGAGACAGTGACAGGAGATTTCCAGATTTGAGAGGAAGGACTGAAAATTAGTTTGAATAAAAACCCGTATGTCAGCTGCTTTTACACAATTTCGGAAGAAGGACTTGGATCCATTGGATACCTCACTTCTACAAACTTGTCACTGTCAGCTGTCAATGCAGATTAATTATTTGGAATTACAGAACACTAAGCTTCCAGACAGAAAGATGGATATGCAAAGCAGTTATGTGATTTCTTCAAGAAAAAGTGACCCACAGAAGCCAAAGTACAAAGCACTACAAAGACGGCTGAGTGTACACAAAAATCCTGACAGAACCTTTGGTTTTACATTCATTAATTATACTGGCAGTGCTTCAAAAACATTCTAAAACTTTATTTGGATGGAGAGAAGGTAAAGATAATGATAGATTCCATGTCCTTAATGCAGACACTACAACCAAGCTGTGTGCCTGTTCTTTTTTTTGTAACCCCGTGCATCCAGTGTAAAGTCCTCATGGAGATGTTACATCATAAAAAAGCAGATAGATTGATCACCTAGAAGGTGCCCTTACCTGTGTGGCTTGGCCTTGCTGCTGCAGCTGCTGTAGTTGCTGTGCAGTCAGAAAACTCACAGGCTTGTTCCCAGCAATCAGTTTAGTCCCCGCTGGCATTGTAGTCAGGATGATATTTCTGCCTAATCCACTGATGCTAAGTAAAAGTAATTGTTGAAAGGTTAGTAAACAGCACAGCAGGTTCGATCTTTCCAACTCCAAACCATTCTTCAATTGCTAGTAGATTATTGTTCTACCACTTATACTAACCATTTTAAGTAGTGGTTTCTTTTCCCCCATAAAACTGGCAAGCACACTAGCAATAAATTTGTGTCAGTATCAGAATTAATTTAGCACACAAAATCACTCCCATTAACTCTGGACCACGCACATCACTGGATTATCCTGATGAGACCTGAACACTTCTCAATGCAGAAAACAGCTGAGCACTTGAAATATTAACCACGGGAGACACTACCATAATTTATGGAAGACTAAACGAAAAGCCTTCAATATCTGAATGCCAGAGGAATTCTCGCTAAGGCAGTTAACTTCTTTTGAATAAAGAGATGGCTTCAGATTACAGATATTTTTCAGTGTGTTAATTCTTGCTCAAACACACAGAACTAATCGAACAGCTGGTTTCAAGGCACAAAATGTTTTTTCTTTGGTGTATTTACCAGAACCTGTGTCTCAAACTAAATAACTAAAACTTACAATCTCATTGTAGACACGATATCCACTCAGTTTCTTGCAGCTGATGGACCTGTTAACAGACTGTAATCCTAATTCCAGCCTCTGCTTGCTTGCTCCCCAGGAACCCACTGAACACAGACCTTCCTCAGCTGATTTCTAAAGCAGAACTACAAGATACAAAGCACTCACTTGGCACCGAGGTTGCCCTTGATGATGGGGGCAGTGACCACGCTCTTGCCCTTCACTGGCTGGCTGATCACTGACAGGGGCACTGTGATCCGTGCTGGAAGTTTGCCCTGGGGAACGGGAAGAACACATGAAGAGTCATGGGGAGCTCTGCAGAGAAACTGCCCAACAACATCGCCTGCTTTGTGGGAGTCCTGTGAGCAGAAACCAGCAGCAGCTTTGCTGATGAAATCTCTGCTCCAGTTCAGGCTCCTTAAAATTCACCATTCTCTCATTCACTACATAGCTGCCTGAACCCTGAAAATCCACATCATCTTTGCACCACAGAATCATGATTTTTAACCTTAGGAAAATACCAGTGTCATTTAGCTTATGTAACCACAATACAGTTTATAGTGCCTTCAGATCTGGGCATAAAAACAGCATTAAAGGGGGAAATCAGTAAAAAAAGTTAATACAAGTAACAAGCACTTCTAGTTCTGAACGTTTTATGATACCATTCCAAAGGAAATTATTGCCAAGGTGTGGGGCAAGACACAGAGCTGCATGAGGCAGGACTTCAGATATGCAAAGTTTATTTCATTCACTTGCAAGAGGACGTAAGGCAAATATTTGACTTTTTGGGGGCATTTAGCTGCAATTTGAATACCATAAAATTAGTTGCAGACCTATACCCAGAAGTGTTTAAGGCCAGTCTGGATGAGGCTTGGAGCAACCTCATCTAGTGGAAGGTATCCCTGCCCATGGCAGGGGGTGGGACCGAATGAGCTTTAATGTCCTTTACAACCTAAATCATTGTATGACTCTGCTATATTAATTTGAATCTCTGTGGATGCAAAGAGCAGTTTTCAGTCATAAAACATCAGTGTACTTTGGCACCCCCCTTCTTTCCCCATCTCCAGTGAGAGCTCAGCATTACTCACTGCCTGGGACGTAGATACCACTGTGGTGCTGACGGGCACCTGCCGTACAGCCGTGGCTCCTGTGCCGATGGTTATGGGGGTCCCTGCAGCTCCTGAGGCCACAGCAACTGCTTTGGACACTGTGGCAGTCACGGTGGGTAAGGAGGTGTGGCCTGTGCCAGCAACACTCACTGCTGAAGACGACGGCACCTGCTTAGCATGAGTGGCTACAGTGATGGTCTGCCCGGCTTTGGGGGGTATCACCCCCAGCCCCTGCACGATTCTGATCGTGGCAGCTGGCTTGGCCTCCGTGGATGCCACTGTGGTTATGGCTTTGCTGTTCTGATCTGCCACAGTCACGCCCAGGGCAGGCATCAGGCGGAAAGCAGAGCTTGTCGGCTCTGCAGTCTTTAAGTCAGGAGTCACTTTAACCACGGTGCCTCCGGCTGGGCTGGAAGAGGCAGGAGACACTGTGCTTGTCTTGGCTGGAGACTCAGCAGTCTGGATAGGGTTGGATGTCATGTGCAAAGTTGCAGAGATGCCTTTCCCACCAGCACTGCTTCCCGCAGCTGCTGTGAAGAGGTCCTGAGTCAGTTTGACAGTAGTGACTTGAGACTTGGCCAGGGTGGCCATCATGTCCGGAGTAATGCGCAGCACCGTTTGTCCCTTCGCGTCCGTGGTGATGGACGATGGGGGCAGGCGCAACACGTCCTTCCCTTGGATCCGAAAATTGGTCGCTGTGAGTGGGATGCCACTTCCAGCCTGGGTCTTCACGCCAAGTTGTCCTGTAATAGCCACCTATGAAAGATCAGAAAAATGGTTCCATCAAACTAAGACAAGGTCCAAGGCACACTCAAAGCAGAACTTCCTGACAGGATGGTATTTGCTCCCACTGGAATGCAAGTGGAATAAGACTAGCACTCAGTACACTACTGAAAACGGTTCTGGTTGCGTATCAGATGGCACTCCCAATCCCATCTGAAATAGGAAATACTTGTGCAGCTGGTTTCTTTTCCAAACAAAATGAAGGAGAGATCACTAAAAAACCTGCATAAACACATCTTTCACCTGTATATGGAAATAGGGCTCAAACACATAAAACCAGCACTGCCCATCAACTCACAAAACATTACAGCTCCCAAATGTTCACATCTGCATATCAAACGGGAAACAATCAGGTCTCGAAGTCCAATTCCTTTTCTCTCCCTCCCTCTCACCTGCTTGATAATGTTCTGGCCAGCCACGTTCTGAATGACAGTGGTGGAGGAGGTGCTGGCAACAGAACTGCCTGGAGAGCTGGTCACTGGCTTCACAGCAGAGCTGGGCACAGCAGGCAGCCCCGTCACAGTGATACCTGCCTGGCTGGCCATGGAGCTTCCTGCTCTTGGCACCTGCACAGGGCTACTTTGAGCTTTTACAGGCAGAGTCATCACAGCCTACAGAAGAGAGGAAGAAGACTATGAGTAGATTACCACAGTAGGAACAGTCTAGTGATTCTTCTTTGTATTGTGTTAGCTTGCGAGTTCAGGAGAGTTCACAAGAATTCCCTTGCAAGGATTCCAAATGCTTGGAATTGTAGTGAGGTGGGTGTCAGCCTCTTCTTCCAGGTAACAAATGATAGGACAAGAGGAACTGGCCTCAAGTTGCACCAGGGAGGTTAATTTGGATATCAGGAAATTTTTTTTCACCGAAAGGGTTGTAAAGCATTGGAATAGACTGCCCAGGGCAGTGGTGGAGTCACCATCCCTGGAAGCTTTCAAAAAAATGTGTGGATGATGCAGGGGAGGATATGGTTTAGTAGTGAGCATGGTGGTGTTGCTGTGTTCATGGCTGGACTTGATGATTTTGACAGTCTTTTTCAAGCTTAACAAGTCTGTGATTCTAAGTTCTGTGGACTTTTTATGTAATGAACAATTTAATAATGTCAAGTAAATAGGTGAAAAACAGACCACTGAACAGTATTGCATATGTAAAACTGTTTCTGGGCTCTTGCCTGCAGCTAGTGCATGCTCCAAATGAGCACAGAATGCCTGTGCATCACACCAAAACACCGCAAGTCAGATCAGATGTCAGAGCTACTCTACCCCTTCCAACTCACCTGAGGGAGCACTTTGGTTTGTGTGGCTGTAGCTGGAACACGGATTTGAGGCACCGATGTGGGCTGCTGCTGCTGGGTGACCACGGGAGCTTGCTGGGACATGGCTGGCAGGCTGGACTGGGCAGTGACCATGCGGACCTGTGGCAGGCCTGAGGAGCTGCTGTGACTGACCACACGTGGGGTGGGCGCTGGCCCTGGCTGCGCCTGTGAGCTCTGAGCTGGGGACAGTAACGTCCCCAGCTGGGGCATGGTGGGGGAAGACACCAGGAGAACACTACGGAAAAGACAGAGCCAGTAGGTCAGCAAAAATGTAGGAAATTCACAGAATCACTGAGATTGGAAAAGACTTCTGAGATCATTGAGTCCATCTTGTCACCCAGTCCAGAATACGGAGTGCCATGTCCATTTGTACCTTGGACACCTCCAGGGATGGGGGCTCGACCACCTCCCTGGGCAACCTCTTTCAATGTCTTAATCACACTTTCTGTGAAGAAATTCCTCTTGATGCCCAACCTGAACCTCCCCTGGCACAGCTTGAGACTACGCTCTCTTGTCCTGTTGCTGTTTCTTGGGTAAAAAGCCAACTCTCACCAGCCTCCAACCTCCTTTCAGGGAGTTGTAGAGAGTGATAAGGTCACCCTTGAGCCTCCTCTTCTCCAGGCTAAATAATCCCAACTCCCTCATTACTGAATTATACAAATTACTGAAAAACAGCCACCAGCATTTCCAAGTGACACAGGGGACAGAAACAGTACCTCTGGCTGGGTTTTGGTGGCTCTGACCCAGCACCAGATACACTCTTGCTGACCACAGACACTGGTGGGGATGAGATGGCTGTTGCTGGCAATGCAGGTGCAGTTGGTGTCACGGGAGTCACAGGAGTTGGTGGCATGCTGGAGTCACTGAGGCTCAGCTGGCTGGGTTCTGCTGTGCTGGTGGGGAGGGCTTTCACAGCACCCTCCTTGCTACTTGACTTCTACAAAGCAACCACATCCAGCATCACAAAATCTGGGGTTGATTGCTGTACTCTACAGTAGGCTGAGCACTTCAACCTGAGTTCAGTGTTGGGGTGAATGATGCTCAGCTGCTAAATCCTGAAATCAAACACGACTATCTGTCTGCCTTTCCCCAGCTGCAGCCATGGATGAATTGGTGTGTCTGGCTGCTCCTGCTCTCAGGGAAAAGTGCACTTCAGTTGTGACAGACAGTTCTACCTTGGTTAATGTACCAACAGACAAGTACTTCAGACATATTTAATTAAGGCATCCAAACCCATGACTGCTTCAGCACAGCAAGGGGGAGAACAGAGGTGTTCCACACGCTCTGTTACAAATTAACCTCAAAACTAGATCTGAAAGACCATGCTTTTGATAGGGAGCACAAATGAGAAGACAGCAGTGGAAGCTGAGTAGAAGAAAAGTTCCCTCTCTCCCTGTTCATTTTGTGCACTGACATTCATACAAAACATTAATTGCTAACTCACAGGTGGTAATTTTTGTCACCTGCTATGGATGCAGAATAAATGGATTAAATTAACACTAATCTCCTTCTCAATCCCAAAAGCAGCTGTGCAACCCTGAGCAAAGAAATCTACCATTTTAGCTGGAGGTTTTGGCTTCTGAAGAGCTTTCTTGGCCTTTGCTGCAGCAGCTTGAGCGTGATGGATCCGTTCTGCAAGGACAAATTAATGGTTAGAGCTCGTGAACACAAGCAAACAGATTTAAGGAAGAGGCTAAGTAAGAGCTGCAGATTCTTCTTCAGACATGGAATTAAACACACACAGTCATGTAACAGTGCAAAGAAAAACATCTAGTAAATTAGCCGACAAGGCTGAAAATATGATATGTAAGAACATACATCTGCAGTCCTTGCACGTGGGATGCTATTTTTCAAACAAATGCTTCAAAGTGACACACTGCTTTCTAAGACTGGGTTTAAGTGCTTGAAGGACTAACATGAGCAAACTGACTAGAAAAAAAGCTAGAACGACAAACTAATGTTCATTATCCATCTTTACAAACATTTTTAATTCTTAAGATCTCACCAACCCGGGCTTACCAAACTCTTCCTCGCTCCTGTCCCGGTGCAGGTAGATCCACAACTTCCGCCCAATATCGTATTTCACACAGGGATCTTTCTCATAATGCAATCGGTCCAGAGCACCACTAACAACAGTGTTTACCTGAAGTTCAGAATTCACAGATTACAAGATATCCCTCACTGGACTAGCCAAAACTGATGAACAGAAAAGTGATCCTATTTGGTATAAAACCTGAGTAAGCTGCGAGGAATCTCCATCTGAGTGAGAACGGACTGAGGGCAGATGTTGCAGCACAGGAAGGTGTTTGCCACCTTGGGATAAATGGAGCTTCCACCAAAGCTCTGAAAATTGACTGTTCCTCAATCTAAAATGTGAGCAACTCTATGACAGCATTAACTGTGGCTTTTATAGCTGGTTTTTCATCATCCAAAGTTGGTGCAGATTTGCAGCAGCTTGCCTCACTAGTACACAGCTCCCTTTTGTTCATCACAGCAGCATAAAAACTACTGGGCCTTTGCCACTGACTACTGCCTGGGTCCATGCAGTGCAGTTTTATGAGAATCTGAGGTCAGACAGGACATCCAACTTACCTGAGCACTTGTGACATCTGGAGCTAGGAATTGGGAATCTTTGAGCAGCTCACAGATTTCAGCTCGAGTTCCCTCTCCATTAGGAAGGCGAGCAGCAGCATCACGAACTGAAACACAAAACCAGAGCTTAACCAGCTGTAACTGGGCAGCAGAAATCACGTACTCCATCACATACATTTTGGGACTCTCTATTATCCTTGCTCTCACAGTGCCTACTTGCTCACTAAAATCTCTCAAAAATATGAGCAGAGATTATAAAGGACCATTTTAAAATACATCAACTGTGCCAACTTCATGCTAATAGCGATGAACTTTGGGAACAGCATTCAACGCCAATGTAGATTCCTAAAGTTGTTGTTTGAGGGCTCAGAGGAATGTTTTTCTTCTTTAAAAAAGTTATTTTGGCCATGACCTTACCAAGGGACAAAATGGTGACATATGCTGGTCTGTCTGAGCGCAGGAGAGAATGTTCCCGGGCTTTGTTTAAGGAGGTTTCCTTGTCAAACACCCCCTTCACAGGACCAACAACTGACTCGAAGCCGTGCATGCGGAAGGTGAAGGCTTTGTGGGGCTGGCTGTAACGGTAACGCTCCTGGAGGTGGATACAACAGCAATGACATTACCAGGAAACATACAGCAAAGCCTTGTGCTATATTACAAGGTAAGTTGTTATCATTCTCTAGAGAAAGCCTTTTTAAACTAAAGGCTAAAATACTCCTGCATAAACGTATTTTGGATCAAGAAAATCACAAACTACTTCATGCAAAATAGAAAGCTCCACCTAAGCAAGGTGTGCTGGTGCAATGCATTCACTGTCAAGCAGTTGCACAGACTAGAGAGGTGCCAGAAAAACAAGAGATATACCTTCTGTCCCCTTCCCCTTCCTCCCTTTACCTGGCTAAAGAGATTTCCAAAATTTAACTTACAAATTCTGTCCTGCAGACAGCACATGGAGAGAAGGGAGAAGAATCTGCATGATGTGTTTTCCCTCTAATTCCCACTTGCATCTACTACAGGTAACTAAGTGGATGGGTGCACTTATTGACACTTACTTTTTGCTTGCACACATACATTCCCAAAAAGCAGAGAGATAAGTCATCCTCCAATGGTGGGGGATGGCAAAGGAGACAGTGGGGTTGGCACAACCAACTGACACTATCAATTTTGTAAATTTTTATCCAATTAATTTTTACCAAATTAATTTTACCCACTGGAAATACTGATGGTTTTGAAACAAGCAGCTAGGCTATGTCATTAGCAAGTTTTATGCAAGGCCAGGATACTGACTTCAAGGCATTAGCAACAAATCAATTTTTCACATTAACTACGCTTGTGTAGAGCACAAAACTGCCATCCCACACAAATTCAAAATGTTTCAGCAAGTGCCTTTAAAATAAAGATTCTCTTCCTACCTGTTCTTGAAACACCCGTTTCTCCTCTCCAGTGCTAGGCCGGACTACATAGTCAGTCCTTCTGAAACAAAGGGTACCATCAGTTCTGAGCACAACAAGCACACAACAGTCCCAAAGGAGGAATCCCCTCATCCTTCTGCAAATTCTTCTGAACAAATTCTGAAAGCATTTATGGAAACAAAAGTAAGCCATGCAGAGATATGCTATGTGCACTACCTGAAGGCAAGCAAGGACTATAAATAATCTCATTAGCAGAACTTAAGATAGATTACAGCTTTGCTCTGATAATATATGTGAACTTGGATAAAATCAGTCGACTTTATGAAGTCCAGTTACTACATTTATAAAATCAAACTATCAAATTTTCTCATGCCCCAAGTAAAATTGTTTTATTTTAAGATACAGAGGCACAAGACCCAAATCTCACAGCTTCAGCAGCACTACAAAGGTCTTCAAGCAGTGTTACACACTTACACTCTGGGTAGTGGCATGGCATCCGAGCTGTCTTCATTTTCCTATTGAGAAAGAAATGTCAGTGTTGGGTAGAACACAGTCAGGTTTCATGCTCCTAGAAGATGATTTTTGTCTGACTCACTTTGAAAAAAGTCTGGTCTTTGGTCTCCAGCCAGAGATGAAATAGTGCTGCCAGTTCCTTCTCATGATCTTGGTAACTACCTACTAAGAAATCACGAAAATTTAAAAATGGAAGTTTTTGAATTGTTAGGAAGCCAGCTGCTTGCAAGTCCCAGTCCTCTCCTGTTCCCTCCCCTCCTCAATGTATCACCAGTCACAGATGTTTAAACTTCAATATCTGAACACCTCCAGGCTTAGGAGCTGCTAAATCCGACTGATTCCCCTGTGCTTATACAAAGGATGGTGCTTCAACTCCTAGCACAGAAGGCAAGGTGCTGTTTGGGACACAGTCATCTGTTCCCACTCTCCAAAGTAAACCCAGTTACTAAATCCATGAGCAGAAACATTAGCCTACCTAACCTCCACCAAAAACTGTGAAAGGGATCAGAGGAAAAGCTTCCTGACTCCAAATCTCCGCCAGTTTAAGCCTGCAAATATGATCACTAGAATCACCATAGTTAAGAATGGAAAATTCTGTGTAGCAACTAAAGGAATTAACATAAACACCTAACATCTGTAATTCAATCATTATGAGCCTGAGCACATTGATCATCAATTTGCTCTTTGGTTCCCACTTTCAAAAATTAGAATAGTATCAATTTGCCCTACAGAGAAGCTTAATTCCTTTGCAACTGTAATAATTACTGATTACTCTGAATCATTAGAAGGTATGCTGTACAGAAGAGAAAATATGAAAGTGTTCAGACAAATCTGAAGGCTGACAAACTGGTTAAGTCAGCAACAGAAAGAAATATAGCCCAGTGTCTTTGTTAATTTATGTTACGTCTGCTGCTGATACTGATGTCTTGTGAACACTTCAAATCCAAAACACGTATTAGCTCAGCTAAAAGAAAAGGCCTAACCATGGAATTAACAGTTCTGTTTGTGTTTCACTCCAGACTGCAGTAAGATGAAAAGTAAAGTCCTGGAGAAAACAACAAATCTTTACTATAGGACACATCACAGAAGAACACAAGGTACTCACCAAGCAATTTCCACTGCTGACTTTTTTCCTTGAATTCAACAAAAGGTGAGAAGCTGGAAGGAGCATCTACAATGACAAATGTGCATGTCAGGGACATGATACAATTGTCAAACCTCAAAATCCTACCGTGATAATGCAAACTGTCAAGTTAAAGACTCAAAGTGACAGATAGAGCATTTTTAAATGGTTATGTAAATGCATTTCTAAATTTATCTTTGCCCAAAGGGAAGGTGAGCATCTCAGAGTGTAAGGGCAAACAAAAGGAAAGAACAGAACAAGATAATGAGCCTTCCAACAACAGGCTATCACTGTTCACCATGTTCAGACCAGTTACTTAATACACTGGGATGAGAAAACTCTTAGCTGAAAACTTTATCTTCAAGCTGAAGAGGAAAAGAAATATGAGGCCCCAGGGACTGTTACTGTACAGTGAAAATTCATGGGCTCACAGGAAGAGAACTTGGGATTTACAGTATTCACCAGCATTATGGATGATATGCTGCAAGGCCACCACAATCTACTCTGTCTCTGCCTTTAAAACTTCCCACTAAGCAAAGCAGAACCACAGCATAATTCAGTTTGAAAGGAATGGCTGAAACTCAGCTGGCCCAAGCCCAAGGTGGGCCAACCTCATATTTCAGTGGATTGCTCAGGGCATCATCTAGTTCATTTCTTATAATCTCCAAAAACAACTACAACTTCATACTGTGGGGGAAGAAACTAAGTCGTTCCTGCTTCAAACACCCTGCCTGAAGCCATGATCTGAACACGAGAAACTGTCTGTCTAGAGGCAATTTCACAGACGTTTTCACATACTTGGGAATCATGCTGGGTCTTATCTATTATCTACATGCAAAACAAGTTGACAGCCACAACTAAGACATGTCAGCCAAACAGCCTATCACAGAAACACTGCCAGCAATATAAGAAATACTGTGGAGATGAATGAAAAGTCGATTCGACCTACAATACAAACCAGCACTGACTAGAACAGAAGAACAAGTACCATTAGTATTTTTAACGTCTCTTCTTACCTCTGCTGTCGCCTGCCAAATACTGCAAGGCAGGTAAAACCAATTCAGACCAATTAGGGGCAAAGGAGAACCAGTTATTTAGTGCACTGGCATGAGAAGATTGCCAATCGAGAACTTTATCTTCAAGCTGAAGAGGAGAAATAATGATTTTACTAATGATCTCACACTTTAAACTACGACTGTCTTCACAGAAGACAAACCAGCTGAATATATGCAGGGGACAAAAGGTTTTCAGGTATGTGAAATAATCACCAGACTTTTTCAAGTAACCACAACACCAAAAAAGGGGAAAACAATTCCCCATCTCTGCTCTTAATATACAAAATATATCAAACTATGATCTATAGAACGGGTGTGGAAAGACTCACAGATTTAACTGACTAAACTCATGAAACATGTTAAAACCAGAATGTGGTAGCACTCCCCACAGGGTTTAATTTCTTTAATATGTAATCTAAATCTTATTGTAACTTACAGCAGAGTAAGTCTGGAGAAAAATCACTATTACAAAGCTAAAAGCTCCTCTTTTCTTTGATTTTGTTTCCTGCAAAGATTCCTAGATATGTGAGTGGTTCCTTACCACAGAGAGAGTAACAGGTCCTTCCAGAAACAGTATCTCCAAAAGAAGGAAAAAGAAGCTGGATGATATTTCATTTATTTCAAGGCATGGTTTCATATCTTCAAAAGGTCTTCAGAAGAAAGACAACACAAGCAGAGTAAATTCCCTGAGTAAATATTCACCTCCACATACAAAGATGAACACGATACATTTCACACATCCCAAAACGAATAAAAACACAGCCCGCAACAGTCCCACAAAAATGTGAGCTGAAACATGTTGCTTTTTCCATCCATGCAAGGTATTCAGGACACTCTGAAGCACTTACTCCTCTTTGACAGATGACAGAGGGAGGGGGGAAAAATCCTGAGACATTGATGGGAGTCCATCTGCATTGCCAAGAGAGTCAGCCAAATCTTCCACCTCAGATTTAATAATCTTCGGTTTCTTTTTTTTCTTATCTTCTTTGTCCTTCACCTTTTTCTTGAGGGTCGCAAGGTCAAATAAGGCTTTAGATATGATAAAAAGTTAAAAAGAAAAATCAGACAGCTTCCTACTATACCTGAATGAGAATCATAAGCTATTTAAGTATGTATCTAGAAATATGTGTTGTGCATACTCGTTCACACCTTAATCATTCCACCTTCCCAGCCGCTGCAATGAATCTTTACCTTTCCCCTCAACAGAAAACCTCTAGTTTTTAAACCAACATATATGAAATGAAAAAGGCAAAGGATTCACTGACTTGCTAAGGAACCTTTCCTGCCAGCATTCACTCGAGTCATGATGTCCTCAAGGGTCAAGTCTGTCGTGACTAGATCAGGGTGATCCTACACAGGACAGTGGGACAGAAATTAAACAGAGAAAGGACAAAGTGTTAAGATAGCAACAAGGTGAAGAAGTACCCAAGTACTAAAATGCACCAAACTCAATCAGGATCAGCTTATTAAATTATTTATTGCAATAAAAGTTGAGAAGTCTTCTAACCCTGAAATCCAAAATTCTGTCTCCTCAAAACACACATTCAAAATTACAAAATCCTTCTATCCAGATAAACATGGCCAGGAGCTGCATCAATACACTGACACTTGAACCCAGGTTATAATAAAGGACTGATGGGTGGCTGCACACAAAAACAGCAATCATTTTGTCACCCAGAAGTACAAGTACCCTGATCTTTATGGCAAAGAGATAAAAACACCAAAGATAAAATGAGGTCCCACCCCCCAAGACTTTTTGACATCTTACAGGCTGACGTTTTCGTTTCTCATGGTGTTTCTTCAACATCATCTTTAAATCGCTTTCCCCAAGTTCTATCTTGTCTGCAATGAAAATAATTATTTGCAGTTTTTCACTATTGTTACCTTTCATACTTCTTAGAATGCCATTTTCTATCCATTTACACGTCCAGCAATCTCCAAATTTCAGTAACTAATTTCTCCATATATGAATTTCATTCATTCATTCATTTCAATGCTTCATTCAGTCATCAGATTTCACTGCTGATGCAAGCATAGAAGAGAAAAGAAGCCAGAACCAGCTTGAAGAGTTTGCAGAATTTATTACAGTCACTTTAGGAAGGATTCTCAAGTATTTTGAACTGGACTATGCTAATGCTTCAACCACTAAAGGCAAAAAACAACAGAGGAATCAGTATTATTACAAAAATGACTATGACTCTTGTGTTCAAATATTGGTTTTGCAAGAAGAAAAAGATTAAACTGGGAAAAAAGCCAACTGTTGTGGAGACTGAAAAAATGAAGTATTACAAGATTTCCCACCAAACAACAAATTTTAAACATGATTTCTTGCAAGATCTCAAGGTAATTCTCCTCCCTCTATTCATACTGACCCCTTAATTTGGTTCTCACCTGCAGTTTTCATGTCCAAGGTTGACAGTGTGGGGACCACTCGCAGGGGAACTGGTGGACTTGAACAACGTGCTGGAGAACTTGGAGGCCAAGAGATTAGATCTAAAATAGAGATATAAATTTACTTCTGCAAGACTTATCAGCAACCTGTGTAACTATTACCACGTGTTCATTAGATCCCAGCCACTGGAAGTAGAGCCCAGAATCCAATCTTTTATCAAAGGCTCTGTCTCCACGTTAAAAATGTGTCTTTTTCCGTTCACGCCTGGAGTCTTTAGTTCAGCCCAGGCATTACCTTCTTCATCAGAAGACAAGGTAGTGTCTCCACACTCCTCTTTCACTTCCCTCAGGATCTTCAAGTAGCGTCGATGTGTCCGTCTGTCTCGTTCTTCCGAGTCATATGTCGGTGGGAAGTGCTTTCTCCTCAGGGTCATGTCAGGGCCTCCTTTCCTGGCTAATTCCAGCAAGTGCTGAAAGGAGAGATTCATGTGACATTAGCTATGTCGGCTACAGTGCTATAAGCCAGGACAGGCAAGCCCAGCTCAGATACTTCCCAGCAAGGTTACCATGTGGCACCATCAGCACCTCAGATCTGTGCGAGGGAAACCTTAGGAAGGATCAGTATCTGCCACACACAGAGTTTTAAACCTAGCATTTTAGACCATCACTTAAAGGGTAGAAAAAAAAAAAACCCAGGTGAAATATCTGCACCTTCTTCTGCACACATAATCTGTCATTTTATGTGGACCGTTGAGAAGAACTTAAATCACTGGTGTGAGGTGTAGTTTCCACACAAATATACAATAACAACAAGGAACGCTGTCTCTTTTGAAAAAAAAAAAAAAAAACTTTTACCTCTCACAGCTACAGAGGAAATAACTTCCTATGTATTCCACATTGTTGCCCAATGAAGTTGTGGATGCCCCATCCCTGGAATTGTTTAAGGCCAGGAGCAACCTGGTCTAGTGAATGGTGTCCTTGCCCATGGCAGGGGACTGGAATGAGATGAGGCTTAAGGTTTCTTCCCACCCAAACCATTCTGGGATACTCTGTTTCCCACAACATTGTAGGGCATTTAAAAAAACCAGACTTCTTCATCTCTACATGCCATATGTTTCAATGTCTAAGTGTAAGAAAAAATAAATGAACAACAAACACATTTCAGCTGGCAAGAACTTGCTCACAGAAGTATCCACAGAGGAAGACTTTACCCAGGATTTGCAAGCATGAGAATCAGAGGTTTGGATCCACATATTTTCTAACTATTTAGCAACTGTACTTGTTTCAGAAATGGTAAACAAAGGCAGAATGACTTATTAACAAAATAGCAAGTTGTAAAGGGGCAAACGCACGAAGTGGGTACAAGGCAGACATGAAAAGACGACAGGGACACACAAGTGAGAGCTATGAGAGTTACATAACCTGAAGTCTGCAAATACAGCAACAGGTCTGGAGTTCTCTCTGGGCCACTGGTAAATCCAGAAGCATTACTCATTCAGCTCATTAAAGGAAAAGCCTCAGAGAACTGTGCACCAAGACATGTTCATCACAGAACACACTCACATTGCGGGAAGCAAGGATCTGCTTGAGCAGCCTGTAGAAGTACTGCTGCTGGGCACTCAGGTAGCGCTTGTACTGCGACTTGTAACAGAGCTGCCGGTACTTCACCACCTCGGGATTGAAGTGTCCATCTGTAATACAGACAAAACACACACCTGGATTTTCAGCTGCTAGCTGAGAACTTGCCCCAAACCTGCAGGGAAGCTCATGAGGCTGACTGACCCCGGAAGAGTTTCTGGGCAATGTGCAGTGGGTTCCCAAACCGAAAGTTCTCCCCACTGAACAGCGCTGAGATGAGGTTGTTCTGATGCTCTCGGTTGTTCTCAGGGAAGTGAGGCAGGAATTTCTTTAGATGCTCTTGCTGCTCATCTGTCAGGACCTCCTGCCACGTTGACAAGCTGACAACCTCAAAGAAGACCTCAGGCTAAAGAAAGCAAGAAACAACAGTAAAGAAAATGCAGCCACGCCCTCGACCATTTTCTAGCCCTTGATGCTTTTTAAGTAACACCAGTCAAGAGACAGTGTTTTATGAAACACAGGAAACAATACAGCATAAAAAGAAAGGGTCAAGAAATTGATACTACTAACAAGACAATAAATGCAAAGCTTGTAACAGTCTTCTTAAGGGCAATTTAAAAATAATAAGAACATAACAGAATTGATTTAAAAGATATTATCCTGAGATTAATCAAAGACTTTCCCAAGACTTTCTTGACATTTTTTTCCAAGGCAGTCGGGAACATCTCCCCTTTTCAGTTTGCTCTGTAAGCCCCAAAAAGGGAGTTAAACATGTCGTTTATATAGAGGTTGTGATAAGGTGAAGTGTCTCAGCACTACTCACATCCTCCAGGAGGTCCTCGGGCAGACTGACCCGGGCGGTGCCTAGCATGCAGTCCTCCATGATCCGTGTGCAATTGCCCTCCAGCTCCAGGGGGTCTGTTAGCATGTGATCCAGGGAATCCATGCTGCACCCCTCCTGCTCCTGGACAACGACAGCAAAACCCTCAACAAACAAAAATTCCAAACCCAAATACGTCCATTCTGATGTGAGGAGTGATGGAGGAGCCACCTTTGATGGGTGGTTGTTTAAATGGAAGGTATAGATTTAGCCCGCAATATCTGTATACATATATAGCAAGGTTATATACATATGCATATACACATATGTACACACACACACACACACACATATATATATATGACCCACACATACACATATCTATCTATAAAACCCACATATAGAAGCATTTACTCTTCAATTACAACACAGATCATGCCAATGGAGAAGTGCTTTTTCAGACAGGCACACTGGGAAGTACAGCTGAACCATCTCACTTTCCTTCCCACCTGCAGGAAATGTTTTCAACACCAGGACAGACTACATATAAATACTGAAGGTGGTTTTAAGGTGCAGAACCGAAGGTCAGGTCTAAGGTGGGGTTTGGTTTGTCTCAGGTTGAACGTGGCAGGGCCAGGAACCCCGTCCCCTCCAGCGCGACACAGCCGGGCCGCTCTGAGCTGCGAAGAAACGCATGAAACACGCGAAATAAGAAAAGAGCAATAAAATCCCGCTAAAAACCGGCTGAGATAGCGAAGAAAACGGAGAAAACAGGTTTATTTCATACCCCTCACGCGGCCCGGCCGAAAGCGGAAGGCGGCGGCGCTGCCGCGCCTGCGCGAACGCCCCGCCCCACTGCGCCTGCGCGCGACCCCGAGTCGCGACAGGCCACGATAGCGCCGTGCCCTGCAAGAGGAGCCCGGGAAATACAGTAGTGTGGAATGCTGAAACCACTTATCAGTCGCAGACTTATAGAGCTTGACTGCAGTCCTGTGCAGTGGATTACTCACTGAGATGCTGTGCTAATATTACAGTGAAGTGTTGAAAGGCTGAATGTTTTGAATTTTAATGCAGCAAATTTTCATAAAGCAAAGGGAGGTTCTTCCTGGGTCGCCACGCCTTTACCCACTGCCAGCCCTCTCCAAGGACTCACATTAACAGTTTCCAGAGTAATACTAATTTAATAAAATCTTTTTTTTATGTTCAGGATTGCAGGCGACAGTAAAGCAATGTACAGACAAGCTCTAATCCATGACAAAATCTGGCCCACGATAAATCGTAAGAGTGCAGGTCTTACTCAATGAGGAAGAGACAGATTAAGTGCAGAAGTTACAATGGACTCTTCCCTAACTTCTCCCTGTTTTTAAACTCATACTTTCTTTACACAGGTTCTGCCATTGGAGAAATAGAGCGTTTAGGTGGAGCTTGAGTCACTTGAATCACACGTCTTAGTGAATGACGGTCACACCTTGGGAGTGCACAAGTCAGGATAGTACCTGAGATAACCCTGGGATGGGGACACGAGTAACTCCTAGAGGGATTTTGTCATGGTTTGCTGATGCAATGGACATTATCCTTATCTCCCTCTGTTTTCAGATGTTGTGCAGCTGATCAGCCAGAAAGTACTACCTTTTAAATTTAAAAATAGTTTAAAATAACTCCTTACTTTGCAAGGGTTTCAACAGAGACACAGGGGCTCCACTCTGCTCTCCATTTATCTTCCCTTGGATTGTGTTGTGGGAGGTCAGAAATTCTGTGTTCCATCCAGAGAGTAGCAAATGTATTTTTCCCTGTAACTTCTATATTGTTCTATTGTTATCATCCCATTTATCCACATCCCACCTCACTCACCCTCCACTAAACACCTTACCCCAATAAACACATTGGTCATTGCGAGTGATTAAAAAAAAAGAGAAACAGATTTATTATTTTCAGGTTGGTTTGAGTTTTTTTTACATCTGCCAGGTTGCACGAGACTCTGAAAACAACAACAGTCACCAAATGTACAATAAACATACACAGTTAAATAACAGATGAGGCCCAAGCAGTCCAAGAGGTGCAAGATCAGGGTGTGCAGGCTGGGGTTGTTTTCTTTTTCCTCCAAGAAAATACAGAATCTGACCCAAAATGCCTCCAAGAGACAGCATCTCCAAACAAAACACGGACCTTACAGGCAACTGAGAGGACTCTGGATTTACACTTCTGTGGGACATGCCTTAAGAGATCTTTGGGTTGCTTTGGGTTTTAAAACAGTAATAATACATCCTATACCCTTCTGCACTGTAGAAATGAAAAAAAAAAAAATCTGTGCAACCTTTGCCATCTGTCAAATCATTGTAGTTTCTTATTTTGGAAGGAAAATCTGTGGTTCTTCCATTTCTAGGCATGCTTCTTTCACAGGCAATTCATTGAACTTGGGGCACTAAGAATTACTTGACCTGGAGTCAGGCCAATAGCCCAAGTGTGCTGCTACACCAGGGCAGAAAAACTGTGATGAAGAAGCTTTGAGTTCAAAAAGGCTGTTTTAAAATGGTTTTCTATTTTAAATAATTTTCATTTAAGTAACTGGTACAACTGTCCTCATTTCATGAACCGTTCCAACAAAGGTGAATAGAGCAGAATAGTTTTTAAACCCAACATCTGCAACATCATTAATGGGACTCTATTTGATGTTCATCTATTGCCAAACTTTTAAGACTCTTAAAATTGCTCCTGCAGGGCAGCATCCCAGTATTCCTAGTCTCCCATTTCCAAGTCTGTTATTTTCCTACTACTTGTAGCATTTATGGCTTATTCAATCAGCAGTAGCCTGAAAAAAGCCAAGATAAAGTTCTCCCTACTCTCTTCCCACATGAACAACAATGAACAACATTGCAAGGCCCAACACTGTAATTCTAAAATCCTCAGCAACATGAATTGGAGTAACTTACTGGGCATTGTGGTTGCTTGCCCACACTGCCACAGGGCTGCCAAAGCCACAGAATTCAATGTCACTCATCATTGCACTTGACCAAATGGGAGCTCTGGTTAATTTTACCTGGCTCATGAGTGCCCCAGTATGGTAGTACAGCAAGAGAAAAGAAATCCCAGAAACAAAGTAATCCACATTTTGGCAAGTCACTTCGAAGTTACCTCAGAACACTTCTGAACTGGCCAGTATTTGCCAACTGATTTCATCTCAATACTATTTCATGCCATATTAACAGATAAATTAATTACCAAAGCAATACCTGCTACAAGGCTTTGCCCACAAGGAACCAGATTTGCTCTTGGGCAGCCTGAGCGTGGAGTTCTCTCATGTCAAAGAGCTTTAACTCCTAAGACCTGATACCACAACGTGCAGTTCTTACTGACCTGGAAAATCCACACCTGAATCCATGGGAATACCTATGGAACAGTCCCACATTCACACTCAGTGCAGTACAAGAGAAAACAAATCAAAAAAAAAAACCTCTCAAGTTCTTCTGTCCCAAGGGCCTCTAAAACACAGTGCCCTTCTTTGCATTTGTTTTATAAATAAATGTATCCTGTTATGCAGAGATGTTCTGGGATGAGTTTTCCAGTAATGAATGAAAATTCAGACATACACGGTATATCCCATCAGGAGTCAATGGAATTCTAGTCATGTTCTTGCAACCACCAGAATGCCTTAAACAACCAACCAAGATGACCTGTGAAGAACTATGTAAGGAAAAACATGTTACATGGCCTTAAAAGATAAACCTTCACTTTCCCTTTCTCCTGGTCCCTAAATAAAACATGAATTCTGCACGTAGACCAGGTCCATCACATCAGGCAACCTTCATGGATGGCTTTCTATGTCCCATAAATAGTGGTCCACTAGCATGTTTCTTATATGTTTCCTGAGTCCAGGGCTGGTTGTTTTCAGAACTGTCCAAAGGAATTACAGTGCATTGTTAACGAGGTTATTTGGAAAAAAAAAAATAAAAATCAAAGTAACCAACTCTCCATCTAGTCTTGAAGAGGAGAAATATGTTTACTTTGAGGTGGCCACAGAGATAATGACCCTGTCCCTTCAGAGGAGTGCTCTGTATCCTTGTTTTCTCCTGGCACAACTATCTTAGATCACAACAGAAGCTGCTGTGCAGGTTTAGCTGAGCCTTTTTTTTTTTTGCTTACAGGCAAAAAAGAAATTTTCCCTGCAAACACTGGAGGGAAAAGAAGTAACAGTGGCTCTGTACTACCCTTAGGTGATCCTAGGATTTCAATCAGTTTGTTCCAAACAACATGGGTTTAAGACTGTGCTTTTCCTGCTTTCTGCACTGCTGGGTAAAACAGGGCAGAGCAGACAGCATGTAAACAGTTCTGGAGGGCTGGAAAAATAATAATTTAATGGACTGCTTCGGCACATCTTCACAGCTTCATTGTTCCATCCCCATACAGGGACATCAGGAGCCACTGCTTGGCTGCTGCTGCTCCCTTCTGCAGGCAGTCTGCTCATATGGTGCAGGGACACTCCCCTTTTCACCTTGGCTGCTAGAAGCCACAGGAAGCAGTTCTGATATGTTCTAGCAATTTACATTATGTTCTCCTGTTTAATGGCTCCTGTTAAAAATATACATACGACAATCTGCCAGGAAGCCTTCAGTTAAGCAATTCTTTTTCCCATACAGTTGAAATAAAATTGTTTGCTGGACACACTTCCAAAAAGGAAAAATAAGGGTCAGCAGACATGCCAAAAATAAAGTCCAGGGCCAACAGAGGTTTCACTTCTCTTGTCCTTTTTCTTAAAAGCTGCATAAAAAGCATCCCAGAAGGATTCTGAGGGTATTTCATAGTCATTGTGAATTAAACCCTCTTAAAGCATTAACAAGAGCTCCAGGATTTTAGTGGAAGGTAAGTCAGCATACACATTAAAACATATAGAGCCCCAGGGTACCCTCACATCTGGGCTGTCAGGAAGGTGACAAGGACAAGCAAATGGACCATGAGGCTCTTTCACTCATGCTCTGCTGAGAAAGTCCTGGGTTTGGAGATGTGCACTTCACTCCCGCCACTGCCGTTGGTAGTGGTTGTGATGATGTACTGGGTGGTTTGCTGCTGGTTGCTTGCCTGGGATTCCAAGGGATCCGTGTGGGCTGTGGGCTGGGAAACTCCCACCTGAACCTCACTGGAGAGTGAGGAGTTTTGTTTACCATCCAGATCAGGCTGACCTTCAGATATCACATAGTGAGTCTGCATGGGGAATATAGAAAGTAATTAATAATCACTGTATCTTCTGTAACTTCTCTGTTCTAATAGTCTTCTGGCAGACATTTTGGTGTGAACCAGGAACTTTTAAACTAAGCTCTGTTTCATTTAAATGTATTTGAGAGCAACATAGTGCCTGTCTTTGATTCGAAGGATATCGGGCTTACTTGGCTTTTGGTTAATTTACAAATGGTTAAAGTCATCACACAATTAGACCATCACTACAGATTAAAATAGCCATTTTTCAATTCAACTATTTTGAAAGGTTTTTTCCCTGCATTATCTATGTTCTAGCAGAAGTTGCATTCCTATAGTACCAAGATCAACTTAGGCCAATGACCTGTCTCCTTATGCTGGATTGCTTACAAGGAATAGCAGGAACTCTTCTTATTTTCTGAATGTTACAGATAACAGAAAGCTACTGAAATGTTTCCATAAGCTGTTCTGAAATTTGGTTTAATGGATACTGCTTAATCATAAATATTTTTAAGACTAAGCAGTACCACTAACTGATTTTGTTCCACAAATGTGATTAAGTGAAGATTTTAAATTGGAAGGAGTCATACATACAAGAGCCAGACAGCATGAGCCTTGCAAAAGGTTACATGAACCCTATACTGTGCAGTCTGCACCTCTTTAGGTACCTCCACTCTGTGCCCCAGTCATGATTTTGGCATTCTTTAAACCTTCAAGCTGAAGAGCTTTATGCCTGATAATATTCTGGATGAAAAAAAGGCCATGATGGTTTTCCTTACCTGAGTAACTGCTTTCACTTGCCCTGTGTTGACAGTGGTGACCGGGGTACCCACAGCAGTCTCTGTGATTACATACTGCCCTTGGGGGATGGTCATCATCTGAATCTCTGATGCTAAAAAATTGCAAATTGGATAATCAAGACCTCCAGTCAAACTCAGAGACAACCTTCAACGATTTAAAGTCTGAAACCATGGGTATTGAATAGAAATTCAGGTGATACAAGGCCTTGTAGAACTATACAGGCCTCAGCAGAATTATGCCAGTTAATATCAGCTGCCAGTTAACAGCAGCTGGAGATTTTGCAATTCATGCAGAGAAAACACATCCTGTTCTCACTCAAATCATCACAGAATTACTATCCAGAACTGCATGGACATGAGAAATTATTTTCATGTCATGCTCCTCTTCCACACAATTCTTTCAAGCATGCATCCAAATTTGAACAAGTAGCTATCCAATACATTTATTCTTGCTGTATGCAAGTTCCTTGGAATAAAGGAGCCCAGTGTACCTGCCCAAACCATATACTGGATCAGTATGGATGATAGTGGAAGAGCTGGTACAACCATTTACACTTGTCTTCTTGATATCTATGAATATTAACCACGAAGCTGAATGAACTCTGAAAACACTGTCACATTTAGTAGCTAGAGACATGGGGCACATGTTAGTCAGACAAACTTGCCAGACAAGTAGTTAGAGCTACTGTTGACACTTACAGTAGCTCCGAAATGAGTTCCAGTTGCTGGGGAGATATGTGTGCTGGACTGAGGAGCCTTGCTGCTGCTGGAGGGCTTGGTTTGGTGTTGATGTAGTTGTCTGCATCTGTGAGGGGCTGAGTTCCTGCTGAGGTTGTTGCGAGGATGGACTCAAAGGCTGACCCCCAACCTACAGAAAAAAATGGTGCAAATGCTCTTGCTGTAGTAAAGATTACACAGCTCTGTGCTGTCACAAATACAACCTTCTCATTACAGGAAAACACAAGACAGGTTCCAGAGCTTATCAAACACAAGAACTCTTCTCTCTCCTCCAGCTTGCTTCACTCTATGGTCAGTAAACTCAGACCAGAAAACTGAAATAGTGATATTGTTGCTTGCTAAAATGAGTCTATGGCAGAGACCTGAGATTAGAGGCTAAATTCTATCCAAGAGCATGAAGAGCTGTACTTCAAATATTTGAGGAATGCCAGTTTCCATTTACATCTTCCAACTGACAAACTTCATTTAGCTGCCAATGTGCCTGTTTCCAATCTTTTATCTCTCCTTTGTACATACTGTTGGGGGGAAAAAAACCCCACACAACAAATATCCAAACAAACCCATAACAAAACACCTCCATAAACCCCAAGACATCTAGGCACTGCTTGATGATCTCAATGTGAGTCATTTCACGTGTGGTCCTTTAAATGACAAAGAAAGCACTATTCCCTGCATCAGCATATACAATATGCCAGCTGAGCAGGCTAGTAGGGAAAGCATTTTCTGAAGAGAAGATGGAAATACCTGTGATGACTGAGTTGCTGGTGATGGCTCTGTGACCTGGATGTGCTGCACCTGGATGGCATGTTGGGTGTATGTCTGGGAGTCATGGAGCTGCCCAACATCAACTGTGGAGTGCTGGGACTGGTGAGGTGAGGTAGCCTAGGGAAAAAATTAAGCAGAGGTCTATACCTCAAATTCTTTACAAAAGCAGTCGTGTAAATCTCTTCTGGGACACAAGGTCTGGAATAATGAAGCAGGAGCCTTAGTGGAGCACACCTGTTGAACTTGGCTGAGTTTCTTTGCACTCCAGGAGATAAAGTACATTTAACAGATGTAATAGCACAGAGATGGTTCTGTCTCAGTGATACCAATGGAAAGGACTTGCCTAACACCATACAAGCTGTTTGTGGCAATTGCTGGACTAAACCAAAGGGTTCAAAAGCCACTATTAGTATTAACCACTTCTTTGTAAGCATCTTTCTCTACAATGTATACATACTTGAGATCTGCATATCCAGTTCTGTAGTTTGACACAACTCTGCATCAAGACAAGTGCTCAGAGGTTTTTAAAGGTTTTTTTGAGGAACACTTGTTAATGATATCAATTGCAGTAACTGAATTACAAGTCTTGGATATTTATAAAAATAAGATCTTGCTAATATTACCTGCAGGAATCAGTGGTCATGCTCTTGTATCGTTACAACAGCCACAGTCACTATCAACTGGGGCCATGGTTTAGGCCTTTATTAACCAAATTCATAACCTGATTTGTAATGAGCAGCCAGAGAGAACACAGAATTTCAGATTAAAATATAAACACATGGTAGTTTCTGCTTCCTCTCGTGAGTATTAGATTTCTTACAGCTGCCTGAGCTATTTTCCTCAGACCAGTTACTCTAGTTACACTCTGGTTTAATTTTTAGGGGGCTGTTGAGCATCAAGAGAATGAATATTCTAATAGATGCTATGAAGGGAACAAGCAACCACTCTCTGTAGTCCCAAATTTTGGCTCTGACTCACTGAGGACAAAGAAGTACGAATCAGTCTTGAACTGCAGAAAATGGGTCACCCACTGACCCACCTTTCCAATTGCTGGAAAACATTCCTAGAGCAGACTTGAGCAAGGCTGCCCAGATGGGTAGAATTAACTCAGGACTGTGTCAATGTATCTCCAGCAAGCTGACCAAGACTGGCAGGGCTATTTTTGCCTGGTACAAGTGTTTATGAAGGGAACCCTAAGCCTTATCAGTTGATTTATTTGTAAAAAGCAGCTCAGCACTTTTTCTAAGTACTCCTTACTACACTTCTGTGTGCTAGAGCCCCAAGAACACATAGGCTTGGTAGGGAAGGGGTCAAAAGCACACAAGATCCCCATCAGGTTACTCACCTGGGCCACTTGAACAACCTGCAGCTGTATGTGCTGAGGCTGCTGCAAGCCAGTTGTGGATTGAGACACAGGGATGTACTGGATGCGCTGATAATCTCCCTGGGGAGTCCGGTAGTCTGTACTGAGGGTCTGGGATATCTCTGTCATTGCTTGGGTCAGTAGATCTGTTGTCTGAGCAGGGAGAGAGAGGTACAGATCATCATCACACTGATGTACTACTTCAGGGCTATAATTATTTTAATCTACACTTACAGTGGGTCTGGTCATTTATTTAAGGGAGCTTAATGTGTACAGACGTTGGGGTTGTAAGTCACCAGGTATCATAAAGTAGAATTGCTCTCTTCTGTCTAAATCCTAGTCAGAATCATTAATGGCTAACTGAACATATCATAATAAAAACAATTATTTTCATCCTGTGACATACCAGTATTCTGTTAAACAACCAAAGTCCTGGTATTTGTGAAGAGCTGTCTTGGTTTCCAAGTCAAAAAGTGATTCATGGACATAATGAACCTTTCTTCCCCCCCATCAGAGTGACAACTGTATTTCTAATGTGTAAAGACATTTAGTACATAACTTAATCAGGTTTGTGAAACCAAAAGCATCCTGATTGAACCTCTCAGTTTTCAAGCAAAACCGTGTTTTATCCAGTTAGTCTTTAGATAGGAAGTTTTAAACTGTGATCAATGGGACTTTTAAAACTACATAGTATCCTGCAACACTGAAGGACACATTTTCTAGTCTCAGCTTTCACTTCTGTGGCAGCTGATCCATTAACAGAGAGCCACTGGAGATTCATCTTGCTCAGTGCTGTGCTGTCCAAAGGATTACAAAAAGATCTGGCTCCCTGATCACAGTTTGATCCAGTCCCCTGTCACTGTCCTCTTAATGCCAGGAAGTGCATCTCTCAGTTAAGGAGAAAATTCTCAGTGAAAATCCAAGAGATGCGTATCCCCAAGTTCATTATGTGGAGTCAGTAGGTCTGAATGAAAGAAAGAAATTGATTTGGGGATAAAAGACAAATCTTTAACACTCCAGAAAGAAATTAACAGCTCCTGACAGTGGAAAACCGGACAACACAGGCTCAAAAACAGATGTGATCTCAAATAATGTCCTAATACAGGTTTTAAAGTAATGTTTGCCAAACAAACTAGAGTTATTAATACCAGAAGGCTCCTGTTCTGTGTGCTTCCCTGCACTGCGCTTGTGTGCCTCAGCCCTTACCACAACAGTTTCTCCAGTCGTGCTGTCGGTGGTGAGAACAGCTGGCGTGGAACTGATGACGGCCGTTGCCAGTGGTGCATGGATCGTGTTTGGCAGCTGAGCAAACTCTGGGTGCTTCTTGCGGATGTGCTGCACCATCTTTGTCTGCAGAGAGAAGCAAAGGAGCATTGGAAGCACAGTCAGTAATTCTGCTCAGAACACATGGAAATCCAACAGCCTGGCCAAACACAGCTTTTAGGTTTCCCTCAGTAAAGCAGCATCAAGAAACACACTGTGAGATAGATCTTTTGGTCAACAAAGTTGAAAACAAGGATCATAAACCTGCTGCTGATTAGAGCTGACAGTGAAGTATTGTCCTCAACAGCTTTTTTTACCCCAACATAGCCAAGTGTTTTATGATTTTTTTCCAAAGGTCATCTTTTCTGTGTTTTGTTTCCCTGCTCATCTCCCCTATAACTAGCAGAGTGCAATTTCCAAGCCCTTCCATTCATGATCGTGCCCTGGTAACTTTTCAGCACAAACCCTCTATTCATGGCATCTTTTGGCCCTGTAACAACCAGACTGTGCCTGCACTGTCAGCACACAGCACAAAACTAGCACTCTGACTAAGAAGAGAGCTCTGCTTGTGGACAGACAGGTGACAGAGACCATGATGAAAGAGTATGCCCAGGGAGAGGCTGTCTGAAGCCAGAACCCCCCATACCTTACTGCTGTATTGCTTGGAGCAGTGAGGGCAGCACACTGGAGGGGTGGCAATGGTGCCTGTCAGCTGGGTGTGGGTACTCAGCATGGGATCTGGCTCTCCCGGGCCTGCAGGACGCAGTTTCCGGATGCTTGGAGGTAGCTCAGCGCCAGGATGGTTTTTCAGGATGTGTGCTTTTCGTTTGCTGGCACTCTTGTACACCTGCAGGGCAAAAATTTGGAATTAAAATGTTGCAACCCTAGTGTCTGCACAGGAAACAGCTACTGGTTATCTTGATGTGGAAGGTCTGCATGTTGCTTTAGAGAACACATTTAGTTAAATCCCCAAACAATTACAACAAAAGGCATGAACATACGCCTTGTAAAAGCAACTGACTCCTTGTGTAGCACAGAGAAGCCTTGTGAGAACGTATTGTATGCCACAGGAAAACCCTTTTTGCCATATTTGAAGATCAAATGTCCAGTGTTAATTTGTTATGAGGGTCGATGTCTCTACTTGACACAAAGCACCAAACTGTTTTAGTTCAATGATCAACATACCTGTTAGTTCTTTTTAGGCACATCAACAAATACTATTTAATAATTAAAACTACTTTTTCTCCCCTCCAGCAAAAGGAAAAAGACATCACAGAAAGATATATTGAGGATATGGACAGTCAAAATACATTCCCAGGCGTAAAAGGCAAAGGAAAATAAGAGCAAGAACCCAAAGGCACTGCAAAAGCAGCTTCAGGCTCCACTGACCACTGGGAATTACTGGCACATGACCTAGTAAGCAGCTTACAGTAAAAGGTGTTAAAGACTAACTTTTAAAAGTGATACAGAAACCAAGAGTACTTACTGGCCAGGAATTATACAGACAGGATACTTTGTCCTGGGCTAACACAAGACTAAGTGTCAGTGACTGTCTGCTGGATAACAGTATTCAAGTTTTCCAATGCCAAACACAGCAGAAAGGGGAAAACTGCAGCTTTCAATTAGCATTCCACTGCCTTGGCCTGAGCGCATTTTGTCTTTTTTTTTTGGAGAGCACTGCAGCACTGTTGCTGGCAAGCACCTCAGAAAAGCTACAAACCCTGCCAGAGATTTCTATGGAGAGGCAAATTGATTGCATCCAGGACTGGGACTGAGCTATCCTCCAAGAGGCAACTTCCCACACACCTTATCGCAGTATTGACAGAAGTAATCTCTGTTGGGTTTTATGATGGGCAACGTGAGCTCTGGCACCTCTTCTATTTTCATGTCTGGATGTCTCTTTGATAAATGATTCACCTTAGGAGAAACAGAGAAAAAGAACGCATTACAGTTGGAAGCCAAACGATTGGTGCTTCTTCCAGACATGGGTAACAGCCAAACCAAAACTGAACGATGCAAGCCAGCAGCACTGGAAGCATTTGCTGCTGAAAGGGTTATTGTGCACTCACATTTAACTGCTGAAGATAAATGTAGTCTTGCTAGGTCTCATTTACAGTTTCTCTAACCAAAATTAGATAGGAAGGAGTGAAATAGTTTGCCAGAACTGTCTTGTAGCTGATAGCTGTGAGTGAGGTAGTATAAAGGGCATCTGCCCACATGAGAACTCTCACGAAACCTTTGCAAATAATCTCTTGCTGCAGAACAGCCTTTACCCAGAGGCAGTGACAAGACAAGGCCATAAGAGGCCCTCGAGAAAGGGGAGAAACCAAAACCAGGAAAGACAGTCGGAAAAACTAAGGCAGTAAGGCTGAACAAGGCAGTATTTTCATCTCATGTCCACTTAACTACAGTACACATCAGTCAGCATTACTTAATGTTGAAATATGGTACTGCCAAACCAGATGTACAGCACAGGCAGTAAAAATGTGCGAATTTCCTGAAGAGGTAAAACACACAGGTTTAAAAAAAAAAGATGTATCACCTCAACTCAGCTAAAATTTGCCAAAATTTGTTTCCCAGCATCCTGGCTGGATAAGATCAGATTGGATGGGGCTTGGAGCAACCTGGTCTAATGGAAAGTGTCCCTGCCCATGGCAGGTAGGTGGAACGAGATGAGCTTTAAGGTCCCTTCCAGCCCAAACTCTTTTACAATCCTTGTGTTCCAATGCTGGAATTCCATCTTTATTCCTTATCTGTTCATCAGAATAGAGAGGCTGTAACAGCACCAGGCACTCACCAACATGCCCCTGCGGCGGAAGCCCATCATGCAGAGGCGGCACTTGAACATGAAGCTCTCATAGTCAGTGGATGCAATCCGGGGCTTGAAGGTTTTGGAGCGGCTGATCCGATCAGCCTTCTTGGCCTCCCTCTCTGGGTTGTGCATCCTCTGCATGTGCTCCCGCAGCTTGTCCTTCCTCTGGGGAGGAGAAATTGAGGAGAAAAATGTCACAGAAACGGCCATACTGTCTATTATGTGTAAGAGCCTCAGTTCAAGTTGCTCAGGGATCTCTCCCCAGGGAGAGAGAAATTTTCCTTTCAGAAAAATGTGTTCCTTCACCCAGAAGTATCCAGTCCCTCAGTGTCCCATCACACTCAGTGACAGGGAGCAGACTGCTGCCACCACGGTTTACCTGGCTCACAGTCTGCTCCATCTGTTCTGGTGGGATTTGGAAAGGCATCTGGATGACATGTGCTGACAAGATGGATGCCATGGACACAGGCATCTTGGCCAGGAACATTATTAATCCACTAGCATCAGCAAGAAGTTTCTTAACTGAATTGCTATAAGCAACGTAACCCAAACAATGGCAATGTTTGGGTTAACTGGCAATGGAGGCATATGATGTCCCAGTTCTTAATGAGCAGATAGAAACTTCCTCTGCTATTAAATTATTAGGGATAAGATCTGTTTGAAGTAAGATGCTGAGGTGGCCTTGCCCCTTGTCCTTCAGAAATGGATGTCACAGCTTACACAGGACACCCAGCAATGCATGCAACTCACAGGCAAGTCTAGCGTGTTTACACGTGTTATTTTCTTCCACCTTTGAGAACATAAGCTTATCTCCTTGAAGGAGGGTAAGGAATAGTTGTTTTTGTACTACTAGTGATCCAGCCAAGAGCCACCTCACCTTGAACTGCTTGCCACAAGTGGAGCATAGGAAGTCTTTGCGGTCCGAGTGCCGCAGCATGTGGAGTCGCAGCTTGTCGGGGCGGCAGAAAGCCTTGTCACACTCTGTACACTGGTAAATCTTCTCAGAATGGAAACTGCGCACATGTTTCTTGACCTAAAACGTCAGACCACAGAAAAATGAAGTTTATTTAAGAGAGAGGAGAGTGGTAACACAGTCTAAGAAACTCTTTGCAGTATGAAAAAAAAGCATTTGAAGGTGTCTAATCTGCTTTGGTTTAAAAAGTATTTGATCAGAACAGTTGATATCTCAATAATAGTTTCTATAAAGCAGTAACATCTTTATTACCCATCCGGATGGATGATTTGATTTCCTCAAGACTGATTCTTGAAGGCATCAGCTATTGCACAGTTGCACTAATGGACAACAAAAGTTCACAAGGTATCATTTACAAAGAATGGCCCTCAAGTTAACACATTCATCTGCAGTTTATTATCTTCCTTTCATTTACAAGAAACCAAAACACGGGGACTAATTCCTTTTAATCAGATACAGTGAGCTTACAATTACAATTGACAAAGAAAAAAAAAAAAAACTTCATCAGAAGAACATTTGCACATCATTCCTGAATAGCAATTACTTCTCCATAGTCTGGGACTATCCTTCAACTCTTCAAACATCTAGCGGGGCTTTTTTTCTCTTTCCTCCAATAAAGGAACTAATGAGATTTGACATTTGAAAAGCAAGTACTACTCAAGAAATGGATCTCTAATTAAATCTTTACCATTTTCTAACACTGATCATACACGGAACAACTTGGCATCTCTACCTGTTTCACCCAGAAGTACTTCAGTAGGCAGCAGTCACTAGTTTTAATTATTCACATGGTAAGAAGAGGAAAAAAAAAATCATTGTTAAATATTCAAAATACAACTGAATAGTTGGAAAAAAGCCATGGGAGTTTCAACTGTTTGCATGGGAAAGTTTACAGGGAATTAAGTTGCAGGACAGCATTTCTGAATCATCAACATTCTTCCTTGTTGAACACTCTCAGAAGATAAAAGACTTCTGCCAGGATGGAATTATATTAGTAAATCACTTTCCCCCATCCTCTCCTTTTTAGTCTAGTGGATAGTCTATCTGTTCCTATTACTGATCTAAACTGGATTTCTACATAACAATTTCAGTCAGGCAGCTCAGTAAGACACCATCAACTGCTTTGTCCCTAGGAAGGATAATGAATATGTGCGTGGTCCATCTTAGTTTTTTCTTACTGGACATGGAAATAGAATCTTTAAATTCTCCTAATGACCTTGTCCAAGTGCTCAAGCATAGTGCAGAGTAGCTGCATTACTCACTGCTCCAGTGCAGTGTGCAGGAGAATAAAATGCCCAGCTGAAGCCCAGGGGGGAAGTCAGGAAGTAGAGTATCCTGATCTGCTCTGGCATTTCTTCAAGCTGTTCAAATGAATTATCCTGACAGAAAACAGGCAAGGGATTAAAGATGTAAAACCACTAATTTTTTTTTGTTCAGAGTTTTAATGACAAAGGGTAAGGTGTGCTCAAGTACAAGCTGAATATAGCAAAAGACAGTCCCTTTTTGCACCACGGAGATGATGTAGTCAGGACCTCTGCTTAAGGCATTTTGTGTGAATAAGGCACCTACCCTTTTGCAGTACAGTGCCTTCTAATGCCAGATTGAAGCATCACATCTGATGATTCAGTGGACAGAGCACTTCAGTGTCATAATACACCAACATGCCTAGCAGTCTAGCAGTTTCTAGCAGTGCTTGCTCACTCTTCCTTTTCAATTTCTGACTGTGGTGGACTCCCTGCAGCTTCTAAGAATGAACTGCTGTGCAGTTACACAGGGAGAGCACTGAGATACCTATAGCTTTGTGAGAGACCCCTTAAAGCAGCACTTCAAATCAGTACAGCAGCTCACCTGGATAAAATCTGGGAAGCGTTTCTTGCAGGTGGGGCAGGTGAAATAGCCATCATTGACATGGATGGCCACATGATCCTTAAGCAGATCCAAGCGGTCAAAGGACTCGGGGCAGAAAATGCAGGAGTATGTTTTCTGGTCCATGTGGAACTTCATGTGGCTCTCGAGGGCACCACTGTTGATGAAGCCCTTGTTGCAGATGTCACAGGTCAAAGGGCAGTTCCCTTCCCGCCCATGGAACCGCAGGTGCTGGTCCAGCTTGTCCTTCTCCCGGAAGGCCTTCCCACACTGCAGGCATTTGAATGGGCGGAAGGATTTCCGGATGAACAGGTGCTGCAGAGCTGCATTCTGAAAGAAGCATCCAAGAGACCATTGGCTTTCATTACTGTGTGTAGATTCCACATCCATATATATTCAGGATGAAATATACCGGATGATCAGTGAACCTAGACTTCAGGAAATTATTTTCCATCATATGCTGCCTCCAATTTACAGCAGGAGAGGCTGTGACAGGCAGAAGTCAGGGAACATACTTGCAGCTACCCCCTGAGTTAGCAGAACACAGTGCAGGAGTTCTCTCCATCTCTGATTTCTTCTGATTTAGATGACTTGTCTTTAAGCATGCCATTTTTCTGTAAAATAAAACTAAGCCCTCTCTGAAGCACAGATCCCAGCCTAAGAAAAGCTGCAATTCCAGCTGAGTATTGGGCATCACGTCCTAAGTTCAGCCACCACACAAAGGAATGGTGAGCCAGCACCCTGTGTTTCCCTCAGAAGCAGGGCTTTTGAAATTCCACGGCCCTTTACAAGAACACCTTCTGCAACAAAGATCACCACAGAGATGTGCAGCAGTGGTTTAGCATTGCCTGGAACATAAATTCAGGAAATGTTGGTCTGAACTTTTTTACTATTGCCAAAAAGAACAACCGAGTTTCAAAACATGATGGCAAGGGCAGAATGGCAGCTTTATGAGAAGCAGGTAATAACTTGTGAGCAATTCTCCATTCCCACTGTGCACAATGTCTCTTCTCAGCCCCCGTTTTGTTTTGGTGTGTGTTTGCCTTCAATCTGCCTTATCTGTAACATTTCATGATCATTCTTTGTTTTCTCCCCTTTCCCTTCAGATAAATGTAATAGAGCCATCTCAGTCCTGACCCAGCACTCTCTGCTGGAGGAACAGATGCTGCTGGATGCACTGCCTGTAGAAAGAGAGAAAAGGGTCCTGCACCTGCATTTCAGTATTGGATGAGACCTTTCATGTTGGATAGTTGCAAAGCTAGAATTGAGTCCTATGAAATCCTACAGCACGTTGTCACTCATATTGCACTCAAAGTACACTGCAATGCTCCATTCCTTTGCAAGTCTAAATAATATCCATTCTTCTCTCAAATACTTCTATAAACCATTATTTATTGATGTCTTCTCTTTTCACGTTACACACAGAATCTACATTATGATAGGTACAGAAATAATGTGAAAGAGCGTAAGTTTAGGTTGCATATTAGGAAGAAATTCTCAGCTGTGAGGGTGGTGAGGCCTTGAGCAACCTGAGATAGTGGAAGGTGTCCCTCCCCATAGCAGGGGGGTGGAACTGGGTGAGTTTTAAGGTTTCTCCCAACCCAAACCACTTGGGATTCCACTAGAATATTGCTGACACTTCTGCTCACATGTGTTCCGTATGACCCACTTCTCCATGAGACACATTCAAGACTTCTGCAAACAAATTTACCTGGTTTCCTGTCTCCTTTGCTTGTGGGAACATGGCAGCTGATACAACTGACATTTGCTGACACCAACAGTTGACATTGACTAAGTAAAGTTAAGAGCTCTTCTGCTGGAATGAGGGAACAACTTGGGAATACTGTGAAATGCTGTGCCAAGAATTAAATTTGTGAACCTGAAAGATCCTTTACACCATCTGAACTGTAGAGGGAAACCTAGATTTTCATTCCAGGAAAGAATAAGAGAGCAAATATTTTGCTACCAAAAAAAATTCACCCATTAATACAGGAGCTCCAAATAAGGCTTCCCAGGTGTTGACATCATCACCATTCTCTATTTTAAAAGTGGAGACAATGGGAGACACAGGGATCTGCTGTAATTCACACTGGGAATGGGAAAGACAGCCATGTGCTGTGCAAAAACTGATGTGCTGCTTAGAGTCCAAAGGATATAGTTACCCTCTTAACCACAGGGAGATGCTAATAAAACATAGGTGAAAAGATGTATTTCAAGTCCTGAACTGCACTATTAATTTGAGTTTTGATTACTGGTACCTTAGCAGGGAGCTGACTGCTAATACAGCAGACCAGACTCAACATAGAACTGTTGTTATCTCAAGGGCAACAGAAGGTGAAATGTTTTACTGTTCTTTGCCTAGGTCATTTATTGACTACAAAAACAGAACAAAAAAACTAATTGGTGTCTCATTAACTTTTAGTATTGATCCAGCACAAACAATTCTGGAAACAAATCCTCCAAAACTTTAGGACTGATATTATGGCTCTTCATCCAAGCAATTTACTCCTGTAAAATCCACATTAAATCTACAAAGAACTACTATGAAAAGAACTAGAAAAATACAAATTGTTATTCAGGTAACACTTAGTTCTGGACATCGGTTACCTAAAGAAGAACGAACGTGACAATTTATGGTGCAAGGTCAATCAGGAAACACTAAACAGGAGCTGGACAAAACAACATGGAAGGTGGTATTGATACATACCATTGGATTAGATACAGCAAAAACCCAATGAAACAAAACCCCAAACCTACCTGCAGCTCCAGCTGAGCAGGCAGCATTGAGAGAGAAAAAAATACTTATGTTATGCAACGGACTTGAGAAAACAGAAGCCTTGACTTCTGCAGGTCACGACAAGGGCTCTTCCAACTAGAGTTTATGCTTTGAGGTTTTTGCTTCAGGAAACACTAAACAGATCTTCAAGGTTTACTCTGTAGTTAGTAACTGCTCAAGGGGAGAGTTAAAGGGCAAAGATAAAAATCACAGATAATCTTGAAGGTGTTTTGTGACCTTTCCTGTTTTCCTAGGCTGATTAATAAGGATGCAATATGCACTGCAGAACCACAGTAAGAACAGAATGCTTTCAACAGAAGGGAATAATTAGGGCAGTATGACAACAGGTAAGGGATAGGGAGAGTAAAAAAGTTAAGGAGAAGGGACTTTTTCTAACCTCATTTTTACTGGCTGTGCTCCTTGTTACACAACCAGTTGCATTTCTTTCACCATGAAGAAAGTGACTGCTTTCCAAATCATATTCCTATCCCTTCAGTTTCTGGCATCAGCACAGAGACACCCTACATACTGCCCAGAACTGAACTAAAAGCAAGTATTTTGCCTCTAGATCACCACGTTCCGCTAATTTTCTACAAGAGTTCTTGAAGGGTGGGTATATCTCTTTTCAATACTAGAGACACAACTGCCATAGTTAAGATCTGATCTCCAACGAAACCCCACAGGCTCTAAAGCAGAGGCTGAAAAATGAACTGATCCTATCAGGACTTGAACCCTTGGGCAGGACAATCAGTATTTCCAGCTGGCATGAAGAGAGTCTCAGAGCACCACTGTCTTAAGCATTAGAAAAGCTGAAGCAATTCACAAAGAACTGGTTTTGAAAACTAAATCCTGTCTAAGTAATAAGAAAGAATTAGAGCTACACTGGTTTCAGAATCATAACCCGAAGTCAGGACTTTCTACCAATTCTTTGGAAGTGAATAATGTACCACTAATATCTAAAAACCAAATGTTTGCTTGCTTTTACTATGAAATGCATATCATTGTAGGCAGGTGCTGTGTGAGTGAGTGTTCAGAGGGTGGTTTCTCAGTGCTTAAAAAATGATGCTTGCTGGTTTAGTCTTATCACAAGTGCTCATTGCTCACAATCTGATGCAATATGGAAAGGTCTGTGCAACCTTCCATCTGCCATTCTGTCAGTGCTCTTGGCTTGAAACATCTCCAGGACTGCTGAACACCAGCTGTCAGATACAGAGAAAGTTCGGAACACTTGAGATACAAACGTACCACTGCACTCCTCTGGGTTGTCATCCATTTGTGATGACTTTATAGAGAACAAAAGCTAAGTCACAAGAGAAAGAAGTAACTTCAGAATCTGTCCTTTTCTTCCTATATTCATTATTTCAGAGGACCTTAAGTTCACATATTGGGTTCAAAAGTTCAGGGAAATGGCCAACACTTTTCTTACTGAGGACGCTGTAGCACACTGTAAGCAGAACACCCCCATGCTCTGTCAAAACTTCAGCATCTCTCTCTGTATTCTATTATACACCCTTCAATACATTCAGTAAAAAATTCCCCAGGTTTTTAACACATGAAAATAAAATCATTGGTAAAAACTTGTCTTTAAGACTGCAAGCATTTTTTATCATTAAAAACTGTGCAGTCTTAATGTGCCCAAGCCAAACTCTTACTTCAAGACATGCCACATCATTTTTGGGGTAACACACCACCATTGGTCTTGCATATATATGGCTATAAACTGCAAGCAAAATTTGGCTCAACATCTTCCTATACAGAATAGTTACTCAACTCCTTTCCAATCATTCCTCATCGCCTAAAAATGAACCCTTACCCCCCCACTGCAGCTGTTTCTTTCCTTAATCCAAAGTTAACACATGGAAGAAAAAGATTTTAAGCTAAATAAACTGATCTCCCAGTTACAAAACTCCAAGGATTATTTGCTTGAATCATTTCCCTCCCACACATAGTAGAGAAAAAACAGCTCAGCCAGTTGACACAGAGCTCAGTCTCAAAGTGTTTGCTCTTAATGCATGTTTTGCTCACAAAAGGCAGTGTTTTCTACCCCAAAAAAGGACTTAATCACTAAGTATCATAATCATCTAAGTGGATCCAAACTGAGGCTGTGGTTCCTCTTTGGCAATTATTTGCAAGAGAGTTCTGAGAGACACAGATGGTGCTGTGAGCAAGTCATTAGTCTATGCCACAGCACCACAATTCTGCCAGCTGTTTTGAAGCACCCCTGCTTGCCAGCTTGGATGGACTGTGTTTCCATGGAAGAATTACTGTGATGGAATTCAATCAGCTCCAGCTCCTGACCAGTTCTATCACCTATGAGATACTGGTCCTTTAAGTGAGATCTGTCTCCCTCTAGTGCAAAGAAAACTGCTAGGAATGAGATACTTTATTTGGGATTTGGATATGGATACAACATGAAAGGAGGAGCAGCTGGCCCTGGCAGGCAGGCCTGGCAGTCCCTGGGTTACAGTGGATATGATCCCCCATCTTCTGTGCTTACCCTGATGCGCTTTGCTCGCCTCATGTCATCTGCTGTCATGGTGCTCTGTGTGGGCACCGTGCTCCCCTCATGCTGCGGCTGGATGTTGAGCACGTGGTTTTCCTGCTGCTCCAGTGCTGCCTGAGGCTCTGGTGGCACCGGAGTCTGTTCCTGCTGCTCCAGCCCATTCAATGGGGCTTGTCCGGCCTCATCAAACTGCCCCTTGCTGGAAAAATGCAGCAAGTCCTGAAATCGCAAATCATACAACCAGTGATTATTCCCCCCACCCACTGAAAAACACTTTGATAATACTCAGCAGACAAGATTTGTACATATTTATTCACGAGCTATAAACAAAACAATGTAGTGTGTAGTGTCTATACTAACTCCTACTGCTAACTCCTGTGCTTTCAGCACATCACCTTCACCTACAGCAGCATCACTCAAGAGAACCAGGGAGGCAGTGCCTCAGGTAGGTGACTCTCCATGGGGCATCCCTTTGTCTGACCAGCCACAGACAATCAGCATTATCCAGCTGTTAATAGCTGTCTTGGCTTGCAAACCAAGATGTAAGAGAAGTATGTATTCTATCCCCATGTGTTAACCCAGCTGGGGCAGTGTTCTTTATCTTGCCCACAGCCCATCCTCCCTCCAGGAGATCTCTCCTGTTCATGGCCATGCAGTCCCAGGGCAGGGCTGATCAAATTCCATCATCCCATTGGGAGATGCTCCACCCAGGGGGAGGAGCCAAGCATTTCCTACCCAGATCAAAGGTGAGATTTGGAACAGCAGAGCAGCCTTTTCCCACTGGATCCCAGAGGAAAACCAGAGCCTTCCACATCATCCCTGGAGCTTTGGAGGAAAATTGCACCTTGTGCAGGAGCACTGCTCCACCAGAACCACATCTGTCACTGCAGGAGGATGCAGTCACCATGGAATGGGACTGCACCAACACCCTGACTGACGGGGTGTCAAATTGTATTCTGACTGTCAGTGTTTTGTGTTTGGGGTTTTTTTGTTTTTTTTTTGTATCACTGTATTTTATTTAATTTCTTTTCCTAGTAAAGAACTGTTATTCCTATTCCCATATCTTTGCCTAAGAGCCCTTTAATTTCAAAATTATAATAATTTGGAGAGAGAGGGTTTACATTGTCCATTTCAAGACAGGCTTCTGCCTTTCTTAACAAACACCTGTCTTTCAAACCAAGACAATAGCCAAGAAGGCCCTTCTGCACTCAGGACTATTTCTGCTTTAACCTCTGCTTTAAAGTGACTAAGTGAATGGAATAATCTTCTATTACATGAAAAATCACACACAGATCCTTATCTGACACCACATAATGCCACTGAAGAAACTTAAAAGCACAAGCTAGGGAGCAGAGCACCAGAATTAATCTTGAATTATGTCAGCTGAAGGCTGATGCTGTCAAAGCACAAAAGTGGGTGTGGGAGAAGAAAATCAAGGAATGAGGCCCTTAAAGACCATGAGTGCTTACCAGAAAGAGACCCTTAGTAAAAAATACATGACCTCAGTGTCCAGCTCAGGTGTGGGTGGCAAGTTTCCACCTTGCTTACACTCAGCTGTGCTCTCAGCATCCTGACTCTCCAGATGCCAGGCAGAACTCATACTCAGCTTTAGTGAGGTGAGCAGACCTCCAACAGCTTGGGACATCACCCTGTCCCACTGTGCAGACACACATGTGCCAGCCCTGAGCCATGCTCCAAACTGGCAGGACGTAAGCCACCTCCAGTCCAGAGGCCACTCACACACTGGACTGCACCATCTCCCCAGAGTAAAGGGTTTGGGTCTAGCATTAGGTTTATTTGTCTGAATGAGGCTGGCATGTGTCATGTCAGCCTGTAGAGAGGGTGAGCTTACCACTGCCTGCACCTAAAGCAGCATTTTGGGCATTGCAGCAGGAGTTCACAGGCAGAGTACACATTCCTCCCTCTGAGTCAGCATAGAGCCATGACCCAGTGAGGTACCAGAGGAAAATTACCAGATATTGGCTTTCAGCTAAGTCATAAACCAGGGCACTGATCCCTCTTGTCATTCTCATAAAAGGACTTAGTGGTAACCTAAGCATGGTCAGCATCAGAGAATTTAGCTGTTTACTTAAATGCATCATATTATGTCCTTGCAGAATGTAACCAACAGCTACACACAAAAGAACAATTTGCAATAAGCCTGCCTACAGGCAGCATTTTGTTAATATTGAAACACCATAGAGAATCATATCTCAAACTTATTAAATTCCACCCCTAACAGTTGTAAGAGCAGGCTGATCTCACATTCCAGAAAGGAAAAATAGGAACCTGAATTCCTATTACAGTTTTACTGTCTAATTTACTTCTGGGAGGCTGCTAAAATGCTGCAATAACCCACCTCACTGCTAAGTGCTTTGGAGTGAAACTTGCTGCAGAAATCCAAGTGATTTTACAGGTTTTATAGAAGGGAAGTATTGTGCTCTCCTAGCAGAGTATTCCAGCTAGAAACCAAGAATTACTCATCTGCACGTTCAAAGCACACCCTCTGTTTGCACTGATGCCCCAAATTCTTCTAGTCAAGAGTTTACATTCCATGTGCTATTTTTCCCCCCCTCCATCTCCAAAAATATACCTGTGTCCCTTCTTCACACTTTTCACCATTTTCACTGGTTACTTCCATGCGCATGAATTTGGGAGGACGCCCAGGGCGTCTGCCAGGTCCAAATCTCCTCTTTCCTCGCCCACGACCTCGGCCTCTGGCTCTGCAGAATACAAGAATGCTCCAGGTTAGACACAAAAAAAGAAAGTATAAAATCAGTGAAAAATCCAAATAGATGTATCTCAGCATCCCTAGTCACCCATTCAACTCAGCAACAATGATGCAGCAAATAATAAAGCACAGTAAATAATAAAAATGGAAGAAATTCTGGCAGCAAAACCAAAGGGTTTCTGGCTGGAATTTATTTAATCTTGTGCTTTATGAGAAACCAAGGTTCAGAACACATTAAAACTTCTATCAGTAATCATGGGACCAAGAGGACTACTTGCTTCCATCTAGTCCTCTGCCACAGCAAGCCTCCCACTTTTAACACCCCAATGTATGGCGTACTGGAAGCATTTTCAGCACGATGTAACAAGTGCACACGGAAACCCCATTTAAAATCTGAAGCCCTAACATCCCTCCCCAAAAAGCACTCAGCCATTGATGTCAGGCACTAAACAGAAGGGAACAATTTTTTGTCAAAAAAGCAAAACAAAAACAGACTCGCTACATTTCAGGAGAAAGAAGGCACCAATGCCTTCTGTTCTGTGACAGGTATTTGTAGATTCAGTTTTTAATAGGTCAGGATAAACTATCTTAGCAGGCCAATGAGGCACTAGAAGCCTTGTTTTCCAAGCTCTGTACTTTCATATCTCTGAGAAACATAGTATTTCAATAACTGTGATACTGAAACATTACAATTATTTTAAGTCATTGTCAAAAAAAAAAAAAAAAAAGGCAAAAAAAAAAAAAAACCTCGCCAATTTCAACAGAGTATTTATTTCTCTCAAACTACTTCTTTTACAGAATCTCTTATACCATTCAGCTTCCTGTTGCCATGATTTTTCCTTCTGGTGCTGAGCTGATCTCTCCTGAGTTGGTTACTAAAATTTGCAGGACAAAGCCCCTCCTTTCTGCATATTTGAGGAAGCACCACAGTGATTCACAAGTGAAGTTAAGGCTCAGTACCTGCTGAAGAAGTCCAGCTTCTCGTCATGGGAGTTGAGGTGCTGCTGGAGTTGCTCCGAGCTCATGAAACGCCGATTGCACTCGTAACATGGCCAGTTCTTTTCCTGCTCCCTGAGCACTATTGGAAATGTCAATAACACCATTTCACGCATCAATTAAACACCTATTTTTTTTGCCCCCAGCCCCTCTATCCTCTGTGGGACATTTCTCCCCTGAAGGTTAGACAGACTGCAGAATACCCAGCCCTGCTCCACTGGTCTTTGCTTTTTTTGCCCTCTGCACTGTGCCACGACCATAGCTCATCACAGACACAGAAAGATCACTAGGGACAATTCCCATGGACTATCAACTCTGTTAGAAATTCAAGGGGATTCTGAAATTCACTCTTGTATGGAAGAGCCTACAGGATTGTGCCACTGGCTTAATTTAAGGGAGATCAAGGGAAATTTCTAAATCTAAAGCAGTCACACTTCAGTTCATGATACACAGTAGACACTGAGTATAAAAACAGACCTCTTTCTGGGAGGAAGCAATCTAATGCTTCCCAGCAACTGAAGCAAAGGTTTAAATTAAAGTAATATTCTCATGAGAAGAGTTATTGGAAATAAGCCCCAATAACACAATCCAGATCTGGTTTAACTTTTCTCAACCTAGCAAAAATTTGGGAGCACTATACAGGCCATACACTTGAAAGTAAGGAGTACAACTCGCAACCACCACCACACTGAAAGCAGAAGGTCCCAAGTTACCCTTCCTTTCCTCCTCAGTTATGTCATGGATCTTCTGGTTCACAAACTCAGCATAGGAGGCAGCATACCACACCTGCAGCAGGAGCACAAGGTAACAGGACACTTAGGTGGAGCCAAAACTAATGGAAATTTATTAGAAAATGGGTTTTAAGCAATACATTTACTTCATTTGCTTCAACCACTAACTCTTACTGCTCCTTTCATCCTCAATAATAAAGTCTGGTAAGATCAGTGTGCCCCCACTGAGGAATGAAGGAGCTTTGCTCAGGAAGTATATCCATTTAGTTTTAAGGTTTAGCTTTCTAACATGAATGCTACTCTCACACATGGCTACCAGTAGCTCTAAAGGAAAGGAGATTAACCTCTTCAAACCCCGTTACATGACTGTAAAGGAACAATATCAGTAGAGTACTGATACTTGTACTGAGAGGAATGGAAATGTTATTATCTTGGGGATTTCCCATTTTTTTCCTGTTCTCCTTACATAGACAATAGGCAGCACCATCCACATAGAGAAATTTAAAATGCTTTTGAGCTCCTGAAGGATTGGAGCGATATAGTCCTGCTTCCCAAAACAATGATCTGCCAGGCACCAGCATGATGGACCCACTTTGTCATACAAGGAATTCAAGCCTTCAGCAAAGACAACCACAAGAGGCAGGAAGACAAAGTTTATTAAAGCCTAAAAGCAGATGCTCACATTTAGCTGAGAATTCTTCCATCATTTCATCTGTTTGATGAAAAAGAATGGATTTTAGAAGAAATTTCTCAAAGAACACATCAACAGATTGTCAGCATGAAAAGCTCAAACAAGTTTGAACTTGCAGTGGGCCACAGACAGAGGTGTGTAGGATTTCAAGGACTCTCTAGCAGGTGTGTCACTCTGCAGGAATCTCACCAGCTGGACAAAGACAAAAACCTGGAGCTCCTGGACTACACACCTGGCAGGCAAATTGGAACTTCCCAGCTTCAACTACTTCAATCTCTGGACAAAAATGCACGTGAATGCTCTACATCCACTTGGGGAGGAAATCACATTACTAAGCCTTTCATTTAGCAAACCATCTGACCCCAAAAGACACTACTAACACAGAGTAAGAAAAATGATGCTCCCACAGGGAGGTCTGTACAGATTTAAAGTCTGATTTCAAATAGTTTTAAAAACTATTGAGAAAATGTTTGAATACACTTAAAAGATTTGTAAGATTTATAGTAATTCAGCTTAAAAAAAAAAAAACAAGGACTGATTTCAGATAGTCCTGCTCTTAAAGGGTATTAAGTAGGCTTTTGCCCTGATTTAGTAAGTACACTTACTATTGTTGAAATCTACATGCAGGAAGAGATTTGAAGAACAACAAAATTTCCTGATATTAATATTTTTTGGTCCCTCCCCCAGTGCCCCAAAAAATGTTGAAAATTAAGGCCATCTCAGCCAACCACACTGCCTTGAGCTCAATGTAATCAATAAATTTTTAGAGGGAAGAAAAAGCAAACCACAGGAAAAATCACAATATTCTTTATCATTTTTCACATGCAAAGTTTCAAAAGCTCCAGGAAAGCCAGGTAAAAGAACAGACCATGTTCACTTAAGGCACCAGAAAACAAGCCAGGAACACACAGGGCTAACTGGCAAGGGCATCCAGAATTAAAAAAAATATGACTGCTGCAATAAAAATTAGATTTTATCAGCAAAATATATGCTGTGTAAAGCATGACAGGGAGAGAAATAATTTACATATTTTTATTTTAAATTTCCTCATGAGCCAAAGCTCATTAAAATACCTATGTTGTTGACTAATGACTTACTGACTTCAGTGACATTCAATTCAGGCCATCAGAGGAAAAAAGCCCTAAAACTATTCACAGCAGCAATTTCTGGCACTTATTAGGCAGCAACTTTTGAGGAATTTTAATCAGTAGAAAAAGAGAATCCTGACACACAAGCAACGCCATACCTTGAGTTCCTGCTTGGGCTCCACGTTTTTAATGGTGGTGTAATAAATGTGGTGGCCATACTGATAGGCCACCAGGTTCTGCTCCAGGTGGTTTTGAGCTGGACGCACAAACATCATCCAGTTACACAGAGCCTCACTGGAAAGTTCAAACCACAGGTCCTCTTGCAAGTCTCTGTCTTTTCTGTCACCCTTATCAAGAGAAACCTGTAGCAAAATCCAATTACACGTGACTGTAACTGCCTGGCAGAACATTCAAAAGAATTTGAGTTACTAGGAAAACTAATGTGCCCATGTAACTGTTACATTAGGGGAGCAATGAAGGCATGGCTAATTTTCTCTCTTTACTAACATGGATCCAGAAATGGGCAGAAAAAATATTTAGCAACAGGTAAAGATTAACTAGGGAGGCACAGTGGATCCTTCCAAGACTTTCAGGGACAAGAATCATTCATTAAATGGGTCAGGCACAGTATGAACATGTGACTGTGAAAAATGACACACAAGTAGCTGTAGCTTTAGTAGGCTACAGAAACATCTATCAGAAGTTTCTAACTGGCAGACCCACTTTTCCTTTCATTTCTTGACTCATGACATTGCCTCAAGCAGGAAGCAGCACTTCTTTAGCTGAACTTCTCTTGGTTGCTGAATCTGCCTGTGGTCACAACTTGCTTGTCAGACACTGACCATCAGAGCCCTCCTGAGACTGTGGATCTAAACTCCAACGAATAAAGGACCAATTTTTTATAGTGAAACCAGTAAATAAATGGATACAAGTCACTCAAATCCATCTTACCACATGCCAATTACTTGGCAAGAGGGAGGGAATAAAAATCTCCTCTCCCTACATCTTATGAACAGAAAGGTAAGAAAGATATTTTTAACTGAGGTTACAACAAAAGAATGGCTGCAGAACATCCTCAGAAGGGGCTGCTGTTTTAATGTCCAGATGCTGCTTCAGCTCACGTGAGAGTGATTCACAGCCTTCCATGTCATGAATCGATATATACATATATATATCCTACCACCATTATGCCATAACATTCACCAGGATTAGTGTGCCACCCTGAGTAACAGCAGATTTGAAGCCAAAGCAATCTGGGTATTTCTTAATTACATTCAGAGATGGGAGTAACAAAATATCTTTAGTGAATTGATCAAGGTAGAGTGACAAATTAATGTAAATCAAAGCTTAGGCACAAATCGATTCCCCCTTTTCTCACCCTTACCTTCAAATGGATGTAGCAGTCTTTGAGTTCAGACTGTCTGACCAGGGGTCCTTCCACAGGCCCAAACTGTGTACGCTTTGGGATACGCCTTTTGGAAAACACACCTCCCAAAAACCTGTCTATATAGAGCACCAGGGGAAGGCTGGCCCTTGCCCTGGTCAGCACAGGCCGGTTTGGGATGGGATGCAAAGGTCCGTGTTTTGGACACACTGAGGGATGTGCGTTATTACACTCTTCACACCCTGCAACACAAAGGCAGAGAGGATGTGACTTTCAGGCAGACACACATCAGCTCAGAGACAGCCTTATCTCTAAACATCTCTGGCTCAGCTATGGGAACACTTATGCCAATAGTCTGCCTACATTTTAAAATATTAGACAGGCCAGTGTCCAGCAAAATAGGAACAAAGCAGCTTGGAGACTTCACTAAGGACAGAATTTTGTCTTTTCAGTAAAGCAGCCCAATTTGAGTTTACATTTCTGGGAATAAAGACTCACATTTACTCATTACTGCTAAAATCTGAATGGTTTTTGCCTCTCTTTACTAAAGGGCTGATGGAGAGGGAATAAAAAACCAGGGGGGCAGGTAGTACACTACATATTACTGCACATGCTTACACAAATCGTTGGGATCAAAGGGACGAGGTGGATCTGGATCCCATTCATCCATGTCAGTGTCTTCCCCATCTTCATCCTCATCTTCATCTTCATCATCTTCCTCTTTTGTTTCTATCCTTTCCATTTGATTCTGCAGAGGTGCTAAAGGATCAGAACCATCCACAGCCTCCATGGGAGGTAACACCTGGTTATGCACCGGTAATGATGCCTGAGGAGAGAATTCACAAACAATTCAAGCTGATTAATGAAGAAAGCCACAAGGAAAAGCAACGAAGGTCCTTGCTAGTCTACCCTTTCTGCTGCCTTTAGTAATGGAGAGGAGGACAAGGGAAGGTGCTAAATAACTGCTAAGGGATGTTTTGCACGGCTCACTGCTACTGATGCCCTCACTCAAAACACCTGTATTACTCCCTGGCTCTACCCTGCCAAGGACTCAGTTCTCAGAAGAAACTGAACTCGGAGGAAGTACTGGATCCTTGCAGAAAGTTTAAAACGAAGCTCAGGCTCTGTGGATATTACCTAGAGCCAAAAGCTGCATTTTAATTTCTTTTGTACAAGTGAGAGAACCCTGAACTTTGGCACATGATCTTCTCTGTACAATCCAACAAAACCAATCTCTAGAGTACAAAGGCAGAGGTCAATAAGGGGTGAGGTAACATGGAGACTAGATATAAACAATGGGACATGAAGAACAGTTGAGGTCATTGCATTCTTCCACTAACTTTCAAGTTTAGCCCTTTCCTTCCTTAAAAGAACCACAACATTTGAAGTTTGGCAAATATTCCATCAGCCACACAGATTTCTCAGGTAGAGAACAAGAAATACTACACCCAGCAGAGCTGTCTGAAAACAATGGCAAAGAAACCCAGTGGATGTTGCTGTGACAGTCAGCACTACACCTTCTGTTAACTTCACTTTACAGCACTGAAAGAATTTTAAGGTGGCTGCTCCTTTAATATACAAGTTCCTCCGTATATTAAATACATGATCTCCTAAGCCCCCTCATATTCCATGGTGAGACTATGGAAGACGGTACAAATCTGCACAACAGCTTTCTCACATTTCCTCCCGGATCACTCAGCCACATTTCATCCCCAGAGATGATGGAGCAATGGAATCAGTGCACTTGTACATGGAAAAGGAAAGGGTGCCTGGCAACTTACTCTATCTGCTTGTGGCCCCTGCTCCAGAGCCACTGGCTGGGGGGGGTCAGCAACGCTGCCGAGCACGGACAGGTTGGTGGGATTCATGCTCTGAGCAGCAGCAGGCAAGAGCACAGTTACCTAAAATCACAGGCACTCATTTTAGCACTGCAGCATTTCCATCAGTCACTTAACACACGGGCAGGGCCCAGCATGCACAGCTCCCTTGAGCCCTGAACTCACTCAAAAACTGCGGCATTCCTGTGATTTTTGGGGTTCAAATAGGGATGATGGGCTTGGACAGAACCTGCAGCTCCTGGGACAAAGGGAAAGGCTTCAAATCTGTAGACTTTGCAAACTGTGAATTACGTATTATACATTTTTAAATTAAGGTCCTACCCGACCTGGGCTCAAATTGCATTAAAAACAGATGTTAGAAGCTCTTTAGCTCTTGGCAAAACCAGTGATTTGGGGTCTCTTTTCCTCTATGCCCAAATTTACTTTCGTTTTCAAGGGAAAAGGTAGAAAAGGACTAAGAAACATTTCCTCTTTTTCTGACTTTTTTTTTCCTTCAAGCACACCCTGCCAATGGCTGAGGGGTTGGAACTACATAAGTTTTAAGGTCCCTTCCAATCCAAATCACCCAGTGATTCTATGATCCAGGATCCATTAAAAAAAAAAAAAAAAAAAAAAAATCAAGGTTGTGTATTGACCTCATGAGAAGACCAAGCTCTCAAACAAGAGGATCCCAACAATTATTTTTCTTTACATTTGGTCACACTACACGTTTTGTTTAGATACTCTTTTTTTGTGCTCTAACAACCAAATTAATGCATAGTACCACACTGTTCTCATCCATTCAGCAATAAAACAAAGCACAACTAAGACCCTAGGAATCACCTTTCCTGCTTATCTATACAGGAATTTGCACCACTAGTCCACGTGACTTTTCATCCTCTACAGCTGACATCATGTGGCTTCTAGTTTGTGCCTCTGACTGTTAAGCAGCTTTAATGCTAAAATCCAAGCTCTTGCCTCTCTGCAGAGTGCTTAATAAATATCAGATAAAACTGAGAACAGCGAATTGGGCCAGTAGTGAGGGAGCAGACAACAAAATCCATAATATAAGCACTTGATCTTAGAACTCCAAACCAGTTGCTTTGTTTAAAGAAGTATTAAGAATAATTTATGAAATTCCTGAAAAACAACAGCAAAAAGACTTCAAGGAATGGTGTGACGGTGAGGAGGAAACCACCATGCCACAGTGGTTTTGACACTTCTGATGCCAAGTGACAACAGAAGAGGCATCGTTATTCTGCCAGTGTGCCAGCAAGGAGAGGGTCACACACACTTGGATCTATTTGTACCCCCTACTAGCATTGCCTACTACTAATCACACCAAACATACCCTTACTTGCACTTCCGTGTCAGGCACTGCATGGATTATGGACACTATTCTTATAAACCTCTCACTTTTTTTCTACAAAAAAAAGTTTCTTCTGAAAGACAAGAGGAGCTTTAATTATTATTTTATCATTAGTTGTCAGTTCAGGGATGTCCCACATGAAATACTGATGTAAAAACAGCTGAAAAGGCAGGAGTTGATATAATGAGGGATTAACCATTCACCAAAAAATTAATACATGTGTTAGGACTGCTGTCAGACAGTGTTGGAACGGAGGCCAGGCTGAGGACACACAGACAGATAGGATAGTAACAGCAGATCACCTCTGTTGTCACTGCTATCTGCACTACACACAAGTAATCTCTATTTTTAATTAATCATATATTTGTTAAATGAGCTTTAAGACAATTAAACAGGAATTTCTGGCTTCTAAATGCAGGGAAATTGATGGAGCAAAAAATTCCAGAACAAAACTCCAGAGAAAGAGAAGAATGACAAGACAGGTAACACCTGTATTGTGTCGGTCATGGCTTCTCATCTGTCTCAACAATTTAGAAGGTCTTTTAGCAAGAAAACTTTTTTCAGCACACATTCAATCCCTCACTCTGCCTGAAGACTGTCAATAAACACACATTTTAATGATGGCTTTGGTGATGATTTGGCTCTAACACATCCATTCACAGATGTCACTAAAGTCTCACCAAGCAGTAATGATTTTAAGTCTATGACAAGCAGAGAATTCCAACCAGAGATCTGAAAGCACCTGTCTACAGCTGATCTGACCTGTCTGACTGCACAGTGCAGTCCCCAAAGACAACAATAAGAGCTAGCAACAAAACTTCCCTGTCCATGATGGATGTAAAAACAATAAGGAAAAATCATCATAATATAAACACAGGTTGCAGTTTTACTCTCTGCCCAGCACACGCGATAAGGGAGCCAATCACTGAGCTTCTTCAGGTTCTGCACTTAATTTCCTGTGACCTTTCTAGTAAACCCAGAATTTAATCCAATTTTTCTATCTCTCGAGAGCCCTTTGGGGACTTAAAGGCATTTAGACCAGAAGCTGTACGAGGACATAAAAAGGCTGAAAACCCAGCCTTTCCAAAATGGCACATTCAGATGACATCAGCCACATCTGCTGCAGGGACACTGTCAAAAGACTTTTCACACTATCTCAGGCAACAGATTAGAATTAGTGTTGAATGTGAATTACAGAGAATAAACCCAAAATCATTCTTAACTTTTATTGTCATTCATGCTCAAGTTGGCCATTGGTCTTGATCAGGGTGACAGCACAAGATTGTCACTGGACAACTTCAGAGACAGCCCACTACCCTCCATCACCACATGAATGTCCCTTTACCGTCCCTAACTGTTCCCTCACAGTTTTGGGCCCACAGTGAATAATCTCTTCCTTACCTGCTGGGTGGTAGCATCCTGTTGGACGTAAGCCACTTGGGATGGATCTGTAAACAGAGTCTAGACAAAGTGAAAAAGGCTTATCAAACCAGCCCCTGGGGGTTTTTACTCCCAACTCACACAAGTTACCCTGCCACCATGAAATAACCCACATTTGAGCCTTTGCTAGCTTCTAAGCTGCCTGTTATCACAGCAAATTCAACTTACCCAAGTAGACCTACACACAGAAATTAAAAATTAGGTAACACTCCATAAAGACTTAATATATTTATGTGGCACTTTGCATCTGTACAGCTAAAGTGTTTCACAGAGTTTATTTTATTTACCAAAATCACTTTGTCAATTGTTGATTTGATAAAATCTACAGGATGAAATTCAATAGCTCTATTTATGCCCTTAATATGCAACACTTAAGGGCATAGCTTAAGGATAACACTTAAAGATAGAAGGTTACTGTGAGCTTTTTCTTCCTGAAAATTCACAAGACTGCTGCATGCTTTCTTTTGAGGAACTATCATGCACATCCTATATATGGGACTATGACATGGAAAGGATGTTGTTTAATTTCAAAGAAGTCATGCCAACTTCAATATTCTGCAAGAACAGCCCTGACAGAAAAGTAAGGCTAAGGACTGACTGAGCCTAGCCTTGCTTAGCCAAAACTTGAAACCTCTGACCTTGTAGCAGCCCAGCTACAACAAAATAAAGCACGGTGTAATACAAATTCCTTTAGCATTGTGATAATTTCATCTTAGATGCAGAAGAGCATCAGAATACTACACATCTTTTGACTCACTGACAGCATTCAGAGTTTTGGACTTAGTTGGCCAGTAACTTCCTGGGAGAGATCCTCTCAGGACATCCCTCCACATAGAAGCTGGTTTTCTGGGACAGCTGAGAGCTGCACAAGACACACTGTACCACATTACTGCCAGCATAATGAGGGTGTCAGGTACGTGCACTTGGCAGCACAGCTAATCTGCCCTGTCAGCAAAGATATCATAAAACACTCTCGACAAAGCAAGCCTGTTCCTTTTTAATCTGTCCACACAGAGGCAGAGATGCATAGCATATTGATCCCATATAAACATGTGCTGCAAGGGAATAAAGGCCATTTGATATGATTATGCAGAAGAAAAAGAATATAGAAGGTCTATATAAAATCAGCAACTCTGCAGAGACTACAAAATTACGTTGACTAAACAGAGATGCTCTGCAAAAAGACACAACTGTTATTGTAACTATCAGTTATGACAACTGCACTACACAAAACAAAGACTCTTCCAAAAGGAAGATGGCTCTTAGCTTTTTATTGGATACAAGAGGAAGAATTTCTGGTGAGATTATCCTTTTTCTGGAAAACGCCTTTGAGTAAATTATAATCTCATACACCTTCAGTGAAGTAACCAGCATTTCATAATTCATAGCCTCACCATCCTTTGATAGCAGATTTGCACATCAGACAAATGAACAGCATGAAGTCCCTGCTCAGCACTGGGCAGAGAAAACTGCTGAGAGCGACTGCCTGCTATTTTCCAGTCACACCACTTGGCTGGTAACTGGCTTTCATCCCAAACAAGACTGTTGTGTTTTCTAGGTGCCAAAACAAGGGTGGGATCAGAACCACACGTGCCTGCGTAGCTTCCACGGGGTGGATGTAAACGAGGGTGTGCTCCGAGGTGTCCACAGAGGTGTAGGAGGTGCCATCAGCCGTGTAGACCACCTGCTGTGCAGGGCCCCGCTCCTGCTCGTCACTGTACATGATCTGGGCCACTGCCCCCCCCTCGGGGACAAAGTGCACCTGGGGAACAAACAGATCCTGAGCTTGCACCAACATAGGCCAGTGGGACACAGCACGAGAGTCACGGGGTGCCTTGGGAAGCAGAGAGAACTTATGTCCCAACTAATCTGAATGCAGTGAAAAACACGTTTCAAATCTCACTCAATCATTCTACCAATAGAAATCTGAACACAACTCCCATCAGTTTCTGGTTTTACTCTCCATTGCAACTCAAGATGTAATTGCTACAAAGGGCACCCACCCATACTTAGTTCTTGTATACTTCGAAAATTTGTAAGGGAACAAACTCATATTTGAACTGGTGTATCTGTTAAATTTATTGGAATATTGTTTCCCTTTATTCTCATCCCTTCCAGGATTTATGATAATGACTTCATTCATTCATTAGACTAGTTCTGTAGTTGGAGGTAATTTTTGCTTCTGATGAGGCTAACAGAACTTATTAACTCTCATACTCCTCAAGTTATAGTATTGCAGTTCTCAGAGGCAGCTGAAGGGCATATTAGACTGGTTCTCTGAAGTATGTATGTGCAGCATCAGTAGAAAATTCAAATATTTAAACACACAAACCCATACCTGAAAACATTAGGCACAGATTCCAAGGACTACTGGAAAAAGGGCAGCACTTTAAATCAAAACAAGTCGATTTTACCAGAACATTATGTTCATAACTGATGATCAGAGGCCTATATAAAATGAGCCAGAATACTGAATTCCAGTGAAAACAGGAACACGTTTAGCTTTTTCCATCCTTTATATGCTGAAAAGCATTTTCAGTGTATGGGAAAAACAGGACAGTGAGCAGGAAACCTAGTTTGAGTACAAGTACTCAGTCACATAAAATGATGCCACAGTTACATATTTTATTTTGTTTCACTTTTTAGCTCATGCTTCAGAAGACACCTGGTACTTCCCCCCATGGATGCTCAGTGCTGATTCTTTACAATAAATCCTTTCACAAACACTACAATTTCACATTTGAAGAGCACTCTGCAAATACTCATTAAGCCTTAGAACTGCCAAGTGCAAACAGCAGCATGGTTATTCAATTGCAGAGAGAAGGGAACACAGGCCATTGAAAATTGCCTTTCTTTGCAAATTTCAAAGCTGGAAATTATTAAGAGAGGAAGAATTTCTCAGCTTGTGGGTCAAATACCACACAGCACCCTTTTTCTACAATACTTAACAGAGTAAATCAATTTACAGAATTCTAGAAATTCCCAGCTGCATTGTCTCAGAGATAGAGGGACAAACTGCATACAGCAGAACCTGACTGCATTAGTCGCTTACAATTGACATTTCTCCCTTCCTCACTACTCAGATGTCTGGCTGGAAAAAATTGCTCATATTACTTTCCCCAAGGTCCACCCACAATTCCAACTGATTCGAATGATGCCATCAAAAGCAACCACCACAGAGCACAGATTTTGTTCATGTTCATTACTCTGAACACCCTTTACTCTCCCATATGGTTATAAATATATTTGGACAGTTAAACTTCCACAGCCACTGCCTGACTTTGTTCATCTCATTTCAGAGCTCTGTATCTTCACTGCTGCCGTTTGCACAGTTCAGTTTCTGAAGCTTTAACCCCAAATCACCACAGAAACGTTTGTATTTCTGCTCAAATGAAAGCTGAGCTTCTGAACTCTAAATCAGGGCCAAACAGGAACTAACCCTCCCCACCAATTCCAATCCAGCCTGAGCAGAGGAAGAGCTCTGGCTAATCACCTGAGCCGTGTTCTGTTCCTGTCCTGCAGACTCAGTCCACACCTGAGGACTTTCCTCTTTCAAGTCCATCTCCTCCCTGCCTGGGTGCTCCATGAGGAGAAAGATCTACTGGAGGAATGTCTGGATGAAGGGATTCATCTGTTCATTGTGTTTCTGCTTCCAGAAGGCAAGGTGATCTTCAGCAACATGGCTGTAAAAAAAAAACCAGAGAACAGAGACATCAAAACCAGCATGACACAGAGCTATGAGGGATTTATTATCAGCTACCACACTTCAGTAACACAGAGTTAAGCAAGTTTGGCTTTACAAACACTTCCTACAAGACCCAAACACCTTAAGTTATGGGAATAAGGGAACATAAATCTCACTGAGCATGGTCAAGTCCTGCTGTTCACCACTTTCCATGTCCAATTAAGGAGGAAACAAATCAACCACTGCACTAATTGCACTGAAAGATTACACTGATTTCTTCCTGCATGTCTTTCCTTGGCCTCAGGCCATCTACACCACCTTCTCCTCATTATCCTTTTGGCACCTAAAGGTCAGAAATCAGTAAATAATTCAAAGAATGGACCTGAGGCTTCCAACAAGGAAACAACTATGCAGAGAGATGTATCACCAGTTCCTCAGTTTGCCTGAATGAGGTTTTGTTTGAGCACCAACTGGTTTTCCATGTACAGACAGATTTGACCTTGGACAAATTCCCAGTCCCAGGTTAGTACAGCGTTACAATAGCCAACTACTAAAGGAACAATGAAACTTAAACTCTCAAAGATCCTGACAAACTGCTTCCAAGCTTGATTTTATTCGCCTCTTGCAATTTTATTGGGGCCTCTCAATCTGCCAGTGCAATCCCAGAAGGGTAATTTACAGCTCTGGTGATTGGTTTAGTTGGTGGTTCAGCACCTTCCCAATCCTTCATCTCTAATGTCATATAAAAATCACAGACCAGGAACTAGCATGAGGCTGAGCCCATTTCATTTCTCAGCTACTCCAATTAACTTTATTTTATATCTAGTGCCTTGCTGGGCTGATCCAATGCCAGTACCCATCTGTGCATCAGGAAGGAAGCAGAGGGCTCCTTGCTGATGCTTTCATTCATTTACATTTTAAATGCAAATTATTTTAGTCATAATTTATCCCTATAAATGCTAGCTTGTCATTGACAAACTGAAAAATAGATAAGGAGAGGTAAAAAAAGCAGCAGGCACTTTCTGTCTCCTCCTAATTTTGCCAGCAAGGACTAAGCTGTGCAGACCTGAGCACTGATTGTTCCACTGGGCCTGGCAAGCACGGATAGATCACAAGGGCAGGGAAGTCTCAGGCTAACGTCACCGAACTGTGTGGTGGAGCAAAAAAAAATCATATTACTTACATAAAGACAAAGAAAAAAACAGTGGGAAAGATATTTCTGGGCATTGCTAGACACCAAGTCATGCTGTTACTAATGACTGGCGTTAACACTTGCTGTCTCACGCTGAGCAACCCAGCACACGTGGGGCCCACAAGAGCAGACACTGAGGAACTCTTCTATCCAAACATCTCCAGTTATGGGAATATAGGGACAGAAAGCTCATCTCTATTAATATTGCTTGATGCAAAACATCCCCAAAAGCACTTAAGAGAAAAATTAAAATTAAATTCATGTACCAGCATTCAATGCCTGAGCTTAGTATGAACAAATTACCTGCAGCAAACATTTAGGAGTGATAAACACCAGCCTTGCTCTCTCATTCACTGACTTCCTTCACTCATTTTATCAGGTATATGTTCTTTATTCAGAATATATAACTATATACATACATCAGGTATACAATCACCTCTATCCATGCAAAACATGACAGCATTTATGTCAGTAACACACTGTGAACAACTTCTTTGCAAAATTTAACACTTATCCTGTTGATATCCTTTAGCTGGCTTATCCACAACAGCTCTTTTCCTAGACTGCCATTACTAATCAAGAGCCAATTCAGGTAGTTGCACTAACAGTAGCCAGAAGTTTAATCAAGTACCTAACTGCTTAGAAAACGAAAAATAAAAACAAACATTAGAGGTTTCCATTTGGGGTGGTTTGATTAAAAAAAAAATAATTACCCTGTTAAAAAGAATGCAATTACATTAACTACTAATTGAATTAAGGGAAACGCACAGTTCTGGCTAACTCCACATGGTGCAACAAGTAGCAGAAATTTTGGCTGACCTTCCCCACCAGCACTGAAGGTCTGAAGGAAGATGCTGACTCACTCCTACAGAGTCATTTTGGCACAGATAACTTACAACTCGAGTACAAAGAAGACTGAAGGGTTCAGGTAGGGCCTTTAAAAGACAAAACTGGGTATTAGGATTAAAAGAAGTTCCATAAAGTTGAAAAGGAAAGCAGAAGACAGTCATTTTGTGATTCTGAAAGTTAGCACTAACTTAAAATCTTGGGGAGGGGAAAAAAAAGCAAGAGAGTGGCTCAGTGCTGTGGAATCTATAAATAGTCCAGTTATTGCTGTTCTTGACAGAAATGAAAATAATAAACAGCTCAGCCCAGCCAACCGTGCAGCAATAAGGGACAATAGTAGGAACTGCAGGATTTGCTGATGCTTTCAACTTCTGTACTTCCAAATTCATCCTAGGACATGCCTCTGGTATGCATTTCCTCAGTAAATTTCCTCATGATTACGTCTGTAATCATGAAAACACACTTTACCTGGAAAATGGAATAATGTAAAGCACATTTCCCTGGAATAATAGATGTGCTGAGAGCAAAGACAATGCAGGAGGAGACAGGCCACATCCCAGAGAGGTCCCAGGGATGAGCAGTAAAGAAGGTAGGAGACAGGAGCAAGTGTTGAAATTCACCTGTGAAACAAGCCCTGCAGTCAAGGCCAGGAGCTGCAAAAATCTTATCCAAAGCCATTGACAATAGAACTGCCACAAAACACCAACACCTGAGCAAGTTTTCTGACACTGATGACAAGAAGACCAAGCTAACTTTGCTCACTGGTCCTCCATAGGATGCTGCTCCTCATGAATCCTGCATAATTGTATTTCCTTCCCTAGATCCTGCTCTCAATACCCATTACAGCCCTGACACTGATAGCCACAGTGTCTTGAAATTTTAATAATTTCCCTGTGATCTTCTCTCAGCTTCGGTAGTTCTTTAGCAGAAAAAAATGTGAAACTTTGGACATAGGCATTGCCAAACCACTGGCATGCAAGGAGGACTCTCTGCTTGCTCTCCACAATGTTTGCCCATGGATTATCCTTTGCAACTGTTGATTTTTCTCACCATATTGAACACATCTGATATTTTCAGACAAGCTAAATAAACACCAAGACATGCACCTCAAAGGGAAGCTCTGTTATGTCCAAGTGATTACCATAAAAATCTGTGCAACAGAAATTGAAACTCAATTGCAGAAATCCTAAAAAGGATAATTAAAAATAAAAGGCATTGGGATAGGGTAAACTCAGTTTTTTCCTCAGTGTGAAGAAAGTAGGCTATATTTTGTAATAAAAATCCATGTAGAGGTTTAGTAAAACAGTAATCCAAATAGCTTGCTTAAACTTACGTTAAATTTACACGTTATGTTTGTCACAACTATATTGTCTCCACTATAAAATATAAGAGGTCTGGCTCAAATATTACTCAATATACCATCTTTTTTTTTTTTTCTTTTGTATGCTCATAACAAGTACTTCAGTAACTTGAAGATGATGAAATTTCACTGTTCTGGAAGTTGAAAGATTAGTTAATTATGACATATCACCCAATAGTCACTCAAAATTCTGCCAGCACCCCAATGCTTTCATGCAACACAATGAGCATCACAAACATAAGCAAGAAGCAATGCCAATGGGAGATGTTAATGCATTTACAGTAACTGCAGACACAGCATTTTCCTCCCCAAATAACAGGCATGCCTCACCCTGTCCCTGCCGAGTGATGACACAAGCTGGAGTACAAATATAGTCGAGTACCACTCCAGTATGGCAGTGCTGAAGCAGTGACTGTCTGTCACTATACATTGTGCAAATCGCAACACAAAATGGTCCAAAAACCAGCACAGCTCCTGTGACTTTGAAATATCTCCTTTAGTGGAACATTAGCTCATTCTGAGCTGTGCAAGTAAATTAACCATCCCTTCAGGACAACACAGGTTTGTCTCGGAACACCATTCACATTCACCTTCCTTTTCTCAACACCTTCTGGGACCTACTGCTGCCACAGACCAAGAACCATCTCTCTTTAGTTTTTGTATTTTACATCCATTGCAGAAAATGTCATTAATGACAAAACTTCTCTGCTGCTCCTGATACCTGGAAAGCACCTCAGTGTCATTGTCTGACAGTTCTTTTTTTTTAAGAAAAAAAAAATATTACTTTTGGCCTCTGTGACACTCTCCAACTCCTCCCTACCATTCCTGTGGGATGGTGTTTCCTCTGGAGCTGTGTTATTAAATCAGCAGCTTCCCTGTGCACTGCATTCAGCTCCAGAGGATAGGAAAGCACTTCTCAGAGGGGCAAAGCACCTCATTGCCTATCCAACAGCAATGTCCTTGTTAACTTTGCTGTCTCAGCATTAGACACCCTGAGTCATCACAGCTCCAAGTGTGGCCCATCACAGATGCATCCATGATCCCCCCACAAACAATCAGGAGCGAATGGTGCTGTAAGAGAAAACCGCTTACAGCAAAGTCACTGCTGGTTTGTGCTTGGTGTCTAAGTGTTTTTAAACACAAGTTAAACCCAGTGAACTCACCTAGGGCTTCAAAGGCAAGTTCTGAAAGTCAGAAAAAAGCACCACCAAAAAAAAATTATAATCAACAATAACCATATTTTCTTGGCAAACCTGCTATTAAAGAATGACAATTTCTTTCAATGCTGTGATGACACAAGAAAATACACAGACAGAATCTCTGGGGACATCATCTGCAGCAACCTCTGCGAGGCTCACTAAAAGCATTCTGTTGAAAATTCCAAGCCAGTGGCTGCCAAACTCATTTTTGTCCCTTCTTCAGGATGATAAAGAGGGAATATTAAAGCTGAGCAATGGGAAAAGACCACCTCCCTGCTCAGAGACCAATAAAGCCACTCACTACCTCCAACGAGAACCCACTTTGCAATAATGGTGCATAAACCAGCTAATGTGATTTACTCCCCAGTGTAAAAGAGCCTTGCCATAGCCTGAGGTTCCCTGCAGCAGTAACAGCAGGGACTGTTGGCTTAATCCTCCCACGACTCAGCTCACTGACAACAGTGTGTTACCCCAGCCATGTGCAACTGCAGTAAGATTGGTACAAAAGGGGTTTTACAACTCTGAGTCTTCCTCCAGCTTTTAATATGAAAATGATTTATTATGCTCAAAAGGAACATCACATGTGCCTGCAAAAAGCTTTATCCCACACTTAAAGTTAATTATCCCACTTTGCCTAGAAGGCAGAGCCAGTGCATTTCCTGAGATCTTTTAGTACGAACATGCTTTCATCGCAGCAAGAAGGTTTCTAACCTCATCGAGGACCGAGTCAGGACTGTCATCACCTTCTCTGCATTCCCATCCATCACAGGCACATACTGTTTCAAGGAACTCTGGACCTGGTGCATTTTGTGTGAATGTTATCAATCAGGTCATGTAAAACCACAATATTTATGTTTCACTGGTGAGTTAAAAATGGAAATCATTCTAGGGCTGGGACAGCAAGAATTACTTATTTCCACAAAGGGAAAAATGGCTTCAATTAATTTTGTCGTATAATTAATAGAGGAGCTCAGCCAAACACCAACTCACTCTTTACTGTCATTGTGCATAATGAATCTATGTATATCCATATACTTATGGCACATCCACCACCAAAGCAACAAGCTGGAAGAGATCTCTTAGACCAAGGCCAGTCCTCTGCTGCTGTGCCCATCATATGTTACAGGCCTTATCCTAAAGAGACAGGGCCCAGGCACTGAAGGTGACAGTACAACAGTCAGACATAACTACTCCCTCACAACTTATCTGAAAACCCATTTCTACTACAGAATACTGGAGAGAATCCAGCCTGAGCACAGGTTAACATCCTCCTAGGGACTACCTAGGCTGGGTTTAGACACCTATTCAGAGATGCTCCAAGGACATCTCTCTTGAGACCTAATTCTCGTATAATAAAATATTTTTCACATTGTCCTCTCTCTCAATGGGCAAAGACTCAACTTCATTGCTTTCTACATATGCAAATCTCTTTAGTCACGTCTCTTACCATTTGCTCAACATCTACATATTCACTCCCGCAACCGACTTCCTCCCACTCTCAGCTTCCTTAATCTATGGCCACGTTCCTCATGTTGTTGTCGTCCCAGTGTTTCATCCTCTGAGGTCCCTGTGATATCATGGGCTGTTGAATCACATACTGCAGCTCTTGGGCTCCAGCTGCTCAAGGCAGTGACTCTGCCTTCCTAAAGGATTTGGTTTATAAATCACAGAGAGAGAATCTGATAAAGCAAGGAAGCAAGGAACACATGCAAGGAACATGTACAGGATGACACAAAAGGAAAATAAATGTCTGTATCAGTGTCTTCCACAGTTCTGCCCACACAACCATCAAGATGGCTCTTTTAGGGGTTACTGAAAGAAAACAAACCATTCCCCTCCAGCTTCTTCCTGCCAATTTTTTGTCTCCCATCCCTTCCCCTCCTCCAGTAAACTCTTCCCAAAAGAACTCAGTTGGAGGGGATTCTTCCCCTCCTATGTGTGGGTGACTGCTTCCTCTCTCCCATCCTCCTGCACCTTTCCTCTGAATTTACATCACCTGTCGTAAAATTAAAAAAAACAAAACTACCTTGTTTCTGCACATACCTGAGATGGCTCCTTCAGAATAGCTGCTTCTCTGCACTACCCCAGAGAACAAACGGACTATCTACACCTTCAAACAGGTGAGGACGACATATAAAGCCATTTCAGGGCTATGATACAACTGCACGTTTTACTAGCAGGAGATAAAAGTGACAAATAGACCCAATCTCATGTTCAAGCCCAAACAAAATTCAGCATACAAAACCAGCCCCCTTAATTAGATACACTTAGAAGTCCATTAGAATTCAGTGTACACAGCTGCCAGCAGCTGCAGGTGATCAGGAACACACTGGAAGCGGCTGCTCACTGCAGAGCAAACCCCAGGAGAGCTCATCCAGGGATTTTCTGCAAATGGTACGACTAAGGGTGCCAGAGGAGAGCAGACAATACTACAGACTCGTTTCTCTCTCAAATCTAATTGTCAATTATTTTATCAGAAAATAATAATAATTACAGCGATATCTCACCCTATAAACAAGGTAATAAAGCTGTCTCTTTTCACGTAAGAGAAGCATCCATGTAGCAAAGTGCCAAAATCCATCGCAATTTCAGAGTTTTCCATTCAAAGACAGACTAGAGCAATACACGCTCCTATATTACTTCTCCTAGAAATGAAGGCATCAGAAGGGTCAAAACTACCAATTATTTTATTGTGTCCACAAAATATGTAAAAAATCCTCTTGTAATATCAGTTGGCGATTCATTAGCATCTCATTTTCTAACTCAACTACAAGAAAAAAAAACTGAATTATTAAAATTCTGATAGAAGAAAGCAGAAGTTCAGTATAGTCTTTACTCCCATTGAAACTCACAGGGAAACTTTGATAGGCATTTTACACACCCAGCTTTGCACTTGATCATTCTTTAAAGGTCTGTAAGAACCATAAATATACAGTGATACACTGGAAAGGTTGATGCCGAGGTACCAAAAAGTGCATCACAAATACTGACCCTTCATTTCACTATCACGACCATGACTACTGTCAGTAGCCTAAATCAGGTTTAAATTCTGATTCTGGGACCTTGTAAGAGCCCTCCTGAGGCTCTGCAATGTACGGCTGAGAGGTAAAAGGCGACCACACATAGCTCTTGTACAGGGAAATACCCCTAGAAAGGTGAATTATCCCTTTAGGATAAGTAATTCTGAAAGGCACAGCATCAGGACCTCATTCTTCCATTCCAACACAACCATTTAACAAACTCACATCAACTCACTTTTAATGGAACTGGGACACAGGAAGGAAAACGGGACAACTCAACACAAACACCCACAGAACAAGAGAGCCATAAGATCAAGCATCCCCTTGCTAAAACTGTACCCAAGACCACAGGAAAAGAGATTTTGGCACCAAGACCACTGTCAGGAGAGCAGTAAACTCCACAGCTTCCACCTCCAGCAACTGCTGCTACTCACACCAGGACCTTCATGAATGGAACCATCTTAGGGCAATGGGAAAGGCCCTAACTTCCCTCCACACCAAGCCTCGAGGCCACCCAGCCTGGAGCCTCGCCCTGCTGGGGCCGCACTGATGTCCAATGGGCCCCCTGGGGCAAGAAAAACCTCATGAGCGCAGGACGCCGCAAACATACCCCACCATTGCCCCTCATATAGCAGCCTGGGGGACCCCCACCCCCTAATATACCCTCCACGGCCACCAACAGCCAATCCGAAGACGGGGTGAGACACCCCCTCCCCTAATTAGGCCAATAGTAGGCAGGGGCGAGAGGCACGCGGCCAATCAGCAGGCGTGAGTGTCCCCCTCACTCACACCGCCCGCTTCCCGCCGCCTCGCCCCCCCATCCGTCCCCGCCTGAGGGCAGCGGCGCCATCAGCCCCCCGTAAGAGCACCCGGCGGCCAGCCAGCCCCAACCACTGAGAGCCGACGGGGGACACGGGCGGGAGGCCTGAGCGGACGGGACGGGCCGGGCCGGTCGCCGAGGGCGGGGCAGCTGGCCGAGCGCGGGGCGAGTGGCCCAGAATTATGGTGGAGCGATGAGACCCCCGCAGTGCTGGGGCGGGGGGGCAAAAAGATGGCTTCGGCACCCCCCTGCCGCTCAGGTGCCGGGGTCCGGACCGTACCACGCAGGGAGGGGGGAACAAAGGTGGGGGCACCCCCTTCTCCCCGTGTTCGGGGCGGGCGGGGGATCCCGGCTGGGGCGGGGAGGGGGGGGGAAGCGGACTGTACCTCTCCCGCGGGGTGGGGGGGAAGGGGAATGGGGACGCCCTACTTCCCCTTCCCCCCCCACTGGCGGGAGCGAACGGTTTATCCCGGCCCCGCACCGCCAGCTCCGGGCGCCATCTTGGGTGCGACTAAAACAACAAGTCTAAAACCCCCGGCGGGTCCCCGCGGCGTCCCCGGGCTGCGCTGCCCTCCCGGACCGTCCCATCGCGTTACCTGAGGGGGTCCCGTGCGGTTGCCGCACCCCGGCCGCCGCCGCCGGCTCCGCGGCGGCCCCGAACCCCCCCACCTGTCCTCACCTCACAATGGTAGCTGCAGAGCGGGGGGGGAGTGGGTGGCTGCCCGAGCCTCATTACCATAATCTGCCTGGCAACAAGCCGCGGCGTCGCACGCTGATTGGCTGAAACTCCTCCGCCAACCACGATGGGGCACATAACTCGTCAAGGAAAGACTCGGAGCGCCCGGGTCGATGGGGGGGAGGGGGGAAACACCCCAATCCGCGAGGAGAGGAACGGGGCATGGGTCCTCTGCCCGGGTTTTTGCTCCCACCTTCGGGTGCTGGCGGCCAATCAGAGTCCCGCTCTCATCCCCGCCACGGGTATGTCCGCCAATCAGAGCGCGCTTTTCATCGCGGCGCTCCGCCCCCCGGGGGAGGCGGTGTGGGCGCCGCGGGCAGTGCCCCCTACTGGGGGGGTGGGGGGGCGCCGGGCTCCCCCTGGTGGAGAGAAGGGGCGGAGCGGCGATACCTGCGCCCCGAATCCTCCAGGACTGGCAGGGCCGGGCCCATCCCCCGCTCCCTCCTGTTTAAGGAGGTGACTCCCAAACTTCTCGTGAGCTCCCATCCTGCTGCTCTGCAGCCCGTTGGAGCATAATTACCTAAAGTCGTGTCAAAACCAGCGGATTCCACTGGAATTTTACTTAAAGCTGATAAAGTGAAAGCTGAAACGTGAGCTATTATCTGTCGAAAGTAGACAGAACGCATGAGAAAATGCCCACTGAAGAGCTTCTTCTGCTTAAAACGACCTCAAATGTTGCTACATATTTTTTTTCATGGCACATGTGTCTGAGTCCTAACTGTCTGCTCAAAGAAGGATAATATTGTTCAAAAATGTAACTGATTGGTCATTCCAGTGCGGTTGCTGCCATACTTGTGTTTAGTATTTATCTATTTGTATTATGGTCCCAAGGAAAAACATCCCTTTCTTATCGCTCATTTGCCATTAGCACACACTCAGGTAGCTCTTCAATCAAGTAGGTCAGTGGATGTTTAAGCCAAACAATCCCTGTGTTTAGGACCCTTTAGTTTTTTTTCTGAATGGCTTTATGGACTGTGTATAAATGACTATTCACTGCAGCGTCGGCAGCTACAGATCCCGCAATGGGCCATTGTGGCCAACTTGACCAAATCCCAGGAGGACAGGAAGGGGAAATTTGGGTTAAATATTGATCACTACTTTTACAGAACTGGTTCTGCTCAGTCTCTGTGCTGGGAGAACAGTGAGAAGGTCAGATCTTGGTGCCATTAAATGTAACTCTCCATTAGGTCTGTCCTTTTAATGCCTGGACTAGCCTTTTAAATTAAGAACTGCTGTTGTAAATTGAAATAATTCCCTTGCATCATGTATGAAATCATGCCTCTCTTCCATAAGCAATCAAATTTTCAAAAACAGCCCACATAGTTACAAGTTTTCTAAATTGTGTTTATGAAGTTGATCTTAAAATGTTAGATATGAGTTTCAAACCTCAAGTCAGCAGAATTAGTTTAATTTAGAAGTTTGTTGGATTTTTTTTCCCCTTAACTATACTTCCTTACACCTCTGGGCAGTTCTCTTAATTTAAACTATGGGAGTCATGGAACCAATTTATTTCTCTGTCCATAGAACCAGTTTCAGTTTCATTATACTGTGCTGAAACTTCAGGCGAACAAGTACTATAAGGAAATACATAAAAGCAAACAAAACTGCTTTATTTACTATAAATTTTAAAAGCTGCATGTGTTACTTTTTAAAAAATCAAAGTGCATTTTTATTCACGTTTTCCACGTGTATCCCTAACATTTTTGAAGACTTGGTGGCTCCACCATAAGAGATGTAGTCCCATGGTGGAATACAGAACAGTGCCCTTTCCTGAAATAAGGCTCCCGTTGAAAGTTGTTCCACAGGTTATTTTTTATCCCTTTGTAGTCAAATCAGTGCAAGTTCACCGTGAATGCACCAAGCTGCCAGATGCTGCTCTGATTCATCCCCTGCAGTATCCGGCATCTGATGTAATGCCTATTGTAATTCCCACATTTCAAGTGGTGTTTCTGATGCTCCAGGACAGGCTTTGTTTCCCCCATAGCCTTGTGCTGGCAGAGAGAGAGGCCTTCACATGAGGTTAATTTATTTATTCCTAATCTGCATAGTTCAAGTGAACGACATGAAATACCCCCCCCTTCACCTCCAGTCTGGAAGGTGCTGTAACCCTCCTGAAAATCCTCCTTTCCTGCTCAGCTCCCAGGCCATCAGATTCATGTCTCCATTCCTGCATCATCTCATTTGGATGCTGCTGCAGCAGCAATTTCTCTCATCTTGCCTGTTCTGTTTTTTCCCTCTGGTCACTCCAACATTCATTTTTCCACGAGTTCCCACATGGAAGTAAGTGTATTGACTGTCTTCTTCCTCCTTTTCAGATTCCAGGTAGAAAAGCACACTGGAAGTCCACCCCATTAATTTACTCATGAGTATCTTTTTTTTGCCCTCTTTCCCTTGGACCTCCTCATCCCTTCCTTTCACCTAGAAAAACCACTCCTAAGTTTATGCCTTAAAAACGAGTCT